ATTTGAAAATTATTTGATTTTCGTACAAAAATGTAAAATTGGCATATTTTTATTAGAATAACGATATGGTAACGGAGATTTTCGCTCAAAACAAATTATTAGTGATAGCCAAAATAGTTTTTTCTGGTCATGAGACCGGATTTTGGGTTTTCCTGACCGGATCCGGCCTGATTTTTCGGATTAATGCGGTCCGGTTTTAATCCGGTGAAAATAATTTCCGGAGTCAGTCAGAAGACACCAGGATTCCGGACCGGATCCGGAATTTTTTTGGATTTTTTTCAAAAAAAATTTTTTTGTTTAAATGTTATATATGTTAAACTTTTGTTAGCGGGTATATCAGGGCTCCGATCGACAAAATGCCACTCAAAAGTATCAAAATCTTGTAAAAAAAGTACATAGGGAGAAAATTTGCAAATAAAAAGTACACTCAAAATTGCATTTGAAAATATTTATTCGTGATCAGATCTTTTATATTTTTATATTTCTCTCCTAAATTAATCTTTTCTAATAATTTCTTGTTTCAACTGAGCATTTTGTTGACATGTCAAAATTTGCTGTCACATGAAGCAAAGCTCTGACAGTCTTAACCTCAAGCGAGTTTCTTTCTTTCGTCCATTGAATGTTTGCCATTGAGAAGCGCCGCAGGCGAAAATTTTTTGAAATTTGGAGCCTAAGAAGCCATATTTCTTTTTTTCAGCGCCACAGGCGAAAATTTTGAGAATTTTGGAGATCCTTAAGCCAGATTTCTTCCATTTTTTGCGCCGCAGGCGAAAATTTTGAGAATTTTGGAGATCCTTAAGCCAGATTTCTTCCATTTTTTGCGCCGCAGGCGAAAATTTTGAGAATTTTGGAGATCCTTAAGCCAGATTTCTTCCATTTTTTGCGCCGCAGGCGAAAATTTTGAGAATTTTGGAGGTCCTTAAGCCAGATTTCTTCGTTTTTTCAAAAATGTTGATAAAAAAGTACATACTTTCAAAAAAGTACAAATTCAATTTCGGAAGTACGAAGGTCGATAAAAAAGTACAATACTTTTAAAAAAGTACGAATCGGAGCCCTGTACCGGGTATATCTAAGGATTTTGAAGGACTATAAAGGATACCGGTGGATTTGTGGGTAGTAAAAGGGATTAAAAAGGATACAAAAATCCTTCTTTATAGAAAAATGGTAATTTGGTTGGATATCATGTAAGCTGGATGGATATCGACGGATTGGAAGGATTTTTGGATTAAAAGAGATATAGGGGGATTTGTGATGGATATCGAGGAATTAAGTGGGATATAGATATTCTAAGTGTCTGATATCCTGATATCAACTATTATCCCTATATTATTTCATAGCCCATTTATCACCCTTATCCCCTTGTATCCCCGTTAAGCCTTACAATTCCCTTATATACCCATTAATCCCTACACATCCATCTTAATCCTCCGATATCATCTCCATATCCTAATATCCCCGATATACTCTCAAATACCCCGATCTATATGTTATTCTAAAAATTTTTAAAAAATTTGATATTTGATCAAATATTTGACTCTGCTAATCAAATTTTTTCAAATATCAAATAATTTTCAAATAATTTGATCAAATATTTGTTTGATGACTTTTGTAGAAATCAAATTTTTTCAAATATCAAATAATTTTCAAATTATTTGATCAAATATTTGATTTTGCCTTCCGGCCGATCTCTACTCTTAGAATCAATAGATCTTATGATCTACATTTTAAATCATTTTAGATGATCGTCTGCCAGAATTTTTGAAAATGGCCACAATTCCAGAACGACAAAAATTTCTTCAACTTGAAACAGAAACTGACAGATCCAAATCATCTATAAGAAGAGATAAGCAGAATTGGGCTGATCGACAAGGAAAAATAATTTCTGTTTGTGTTCTGTTTTATTTAAATGTTTATTATTTTTAGGATCTTTATAAAAAATTTGAACAATCATTACAACAAAAAGAACAACAATTCAGAATAGAAAGGCAACGAATTGCTCAAACTAAGCTAAGCAGAAATGCACAGGACGTTGATAGTCGAATTCAGGTACTTAATTTTTATTTAATTCGGCATTTGCTAGAACTATGGAGTTTTTGTGGACTTTTTAAGTAACTGGAATAAATATTTTGAAATATTAGTTACCTTTACAGCACAATTTATTAGTCACAATTTACAGCACATTTTAAATACGAAAATACTTTTTTCTAAATTGTTGTTTCCAACCAAATTCAAAATAACAACTGTTTCTGAAGTTGCCAAGCATAGTGTTGTGTGTATTTGCCAAGCATAGTGTTGTCGGTTTCACCAAAACCTTCGGTTAACCGAAACCGAACCGACAAAACTAGTCTAGCATTATTAAATAAGCAGCCACAATTTAGCAGCACATTTTAAATATATTAAAAAAATAATCGTGAAAATTTCAAACTAAACATGACTGATAATATCCAAGCTTCTTCAAAATATTTTTGATGATAAACTACCTAGTCTATTATCAGTTTTTACCTTTTATTTTTACTGAAAATAAGGTCGGATATTTTTTGTTTTATTTATCGATATGTACGAACAATGACAATGTCCAACAGCATAATTATTACTAATCATTTATTTAAAAACAATTTTCATTTTAAAAGGATCTTTTAAAAAATCCTGACATCGCCGAAAGAACGTTAATATTACAAATTGAGCGGATTCTCAGTAGTGCTACTGATAATATTCGCCAAGAATTGCAAAGACAAATGCGTGTGATTGGACCCTTATATGGAAATTTGCCACCAAGTCTTTAACAGAAAGATTATTGTTTTTAAATTACATATTTAATGATATTAATTAAATTTTGATAAAATTAACAATTATTTAATAATTTTCTTATGAAATTAAAACACGAAACAGTTTTAATTACTAAATTTACGAAGTTTAGAATAATTATTAAATTTGGCTATAAAGTATTTACAGATGGCAATGTTTTTACCGCATATCAGTTTAAAAAAACGTTCATGATATAATCAGAATTTGACCCTTACCCTCGGGGAAGGGTTATTCGAGGGAACCGATGGAGGTCTCCTCTCGAAGCTCCATTTCAATATACAAAAACTTAAGTATACAAAATTAAGTAAATTATTCAACCTAAATTCAGGTTAGTGGAATAGATTTACTCTAAGATACAGATATTTATTGATATATTACTTTAATTTGATTTATTCAACAATTTAAAAATAATTATATTAATTAATTAAATATATGTATTAAATATATTTATTTATCCTGACGAAGTGCAACATACTCCCGATGTCCACAGACATGCACCTAACGGGACATAACTGAAAATTTTAAGTAAAATTTAATTTTAATTGGTAATAGGAATGAGAATGATTTTAAAAATTCAAAAAAATTTTTTTACCTGCAAAGACATCCACCAAACGGATTACAATTCCATTTAGATCCACTATTCAATTAAAAATAATTTATATTTATATTAAAACTAACTTTGGACAGCCAGTTGCGCTGCATGGACATGAACCTACTTTACAATCGGCAGCAAAAACAATTTCTTGAAACATACAAATAAAAATAAAAACAAAAATAATTTTTAAATTAATTATGCTCATTTTTAGTTAAATTTATTTATTTAAAGATTTTAAAATTTAATTTGGAAATAACTGATTTTCTATAAAATAATTTGATAATTTATATAATTCTGAATTTATTAAGAATTATTTTTTTATTAAAAAATTACTGAAAAATTAATTACGCACAATTATTTTATATTAATTAATTACCCAAATAAATGACCATTACAATAAAAATCTTTATTCAAAATTGCCAATAATTTTTTTTCTTAAATTTATATTTTTGAATATATTTAATATTCATCTACCCACATAAAACAAAAAAATTTTTGTGGGTTAAGTAAAAATATTCTTAAATATTTTGAAATATTTTTGTAAGACTTAATTTTATTTAATTAAAGATTTGTCTTAAAAAATTCTTTTAATTAATTTTTTGTTGCGATAATTTTTATTTTTTAATAATTAAAACTTGTAAAAGTTCCTTAATTAATTATATTCAAAAATAATTTATAAAACGTTTAGATTAGTGGAACATTAGGTATATATTAAATTCTTAATTTAATTGACAGTTGTTTTTTAATTGAAGAACAAACATTTCTGTTACTTCACATATAAATTCATTATTAAATTTAAAAACCGGACAAGGTTTTGCGTGTACCTGATAAATTTTCGAAGCTCTCTATCACAAAAATCTAGCTGGGATTCGTGTCTGGAATAATCAAAAAATCATTTATTTTATGTGTAAAGTTTTTTTAAATTTCCATCTTTTTAATTTTCGGCCTTAGGTTGAAAATTAATTATTAAAAATAAAAGAAATTTTGCTAAAAAAATTCCTCAAATTATGTATTTAACAGAACTTACATAACAGCTTATCCTTAACGGCTTAATCTGAAAGATTCAGTAAAATGCCAGTCTTTGTTTTATTGTTAATATCTTGCCTTCAACCGACCCTCAAAGTTGTCGTCTTTGGTAAATCTCTGGCTTGAGATAATTTTTGGATTCTAATTTTGCCGTCATCGAAAATAAATTTAAATTAACTTTCATTAGCAGCACAAACTACATTATCGGCAATTTCTTATGAAAATAATTGGCATTTTGAAATAATCTGATGAATAAACAAGAGTACATGCCAACATTAAATATTTTTTTTGAGTTTTAAAAAAGACATAAAAGTACATGCCGGCTAGACATAAAAGTGCAGGCCGGCGAATTCTTCATAATTCCCTCCCCTTCACTCCTCTTGCCTCATTTTAAAATTTAGATGCCTCTCTCAAAAATTAAAAAATAAATTTAAATTTAATAAGTGCCTGATTTTTAAATTAATTAAATTAATATTTTATAATTCTCTTTCATCCTTCTATACTATTCTATCCGTTAAAGTTAACAAATATTTAAGAAGTATTTCTAAAATTTTTAATTTAATAATTTTTAGAAATGAAGAAAAGTTTATTTATTTTATTTTATTTATTTTTTAATTTTGGAATTTGTGGTAAACCTCCTAAAACGAAAGGAATAACTTCAACAAAAGAAGCTAGTCCATCGAGTAATTTACTAGAGAAATTTGGTAATTTAAATATAAAAATATATTTTTGAATTATTTTTAGTTGGGTTGTCAGAAGATGATTTGGAAGGTAAATACATTGAAGCATTTTTTGGAAAAGAAAAACCTTGGAAAGAAATTATTAGACAAATTTCTTCATTTCTTTTATTTAAAAAAATTAATGATAAAAAATTAATTATTTTAAATAATTTAACAAAAGAAATAAAAAGAAAAGGAAAATCTTTATTTGAAATTTTTGAGGAGGAAGAGGAGAAAAAAGCAAGTGATAAAGAAATAAAAAATATTTTGGGAAATTATGAAAAATTTAAAGAAAAAAATAAAAATGAAACAAAAATTGAATTTAATTTTTTATTAAAATTGTTGGAATTTAATGAATTATTTGAACTTTTTGAATCAGAAATGAGTGGAGGAGAATTTAAATTAAAAATAATTAAAGAGAAATTTGTGAAAATTGAAAATAAATTAAAAGATTTGGGAGAGGAAGAGGATTTAAGCAAAGTTGATGATATTTTTAAATCAAGTTTAGCGGAGTTACATTTGGAAAGGTAAATAAAAGGAGTGAGCCGCGTCCCACAAAATAAAAGACACAAGATTCACGAGATACGTATTCTCAAAAAAATATGAGACACGAGCTAAAACGAGATACGAGATATCTCAAAAAATACGAGATTTCACGAGATACGAGATATTAAGTATTTATTGTTTTTCAAAATTATTGATACATAAAATTGTAATGTAGGCAAGAAGATGTTAAATAAGACAAATTGACATGTAGTGGGTTAATTTTTTGCTGTTCTGAATCCGAAACCTGTTAACACAGATTACCAAAATTTTATTTAAGATTAGAAAAACATATACATGGCTTGTTTGAAAGGAAAATAAATTCAATTAAAACAGAAACTGATGGCAAAATGAATGAAAATAAATTCATTGAATTTAAAATTAAATTAAGATATGTTCTTGATGATATGATGTTTAAAGAAATCGAACTTAAAAATCCAATTCTTCTAAAAATAGGTTTGTCTTAAGTAAAAACCTTTGATTTATAGAGTATTTTTCTTTGTATTTCATTTAAAATAGGGAATATACTCGTGTATTATTGTCCATTCTTATTTGGCACATGTAGATAGCTAAATATTTTAAATTATTATATTGCAGGCATGGGGATGCAGATAATCCCAAAATGCCTAAGGATATCCGCCTGCATCCGCCGTAAATATCCGGATATGGATACTATTATCAGTATCCGTGACCATGCCTGTTATATTGCGTTTTAAGATTTGGTTGAAAGAAATGAACAAATTAGACGTTTTGGACAAATAATATTGGAAACAGGAAATATGAAGGACAGAGCTGAGATTTTAGCTTCACAAGAATTTGTGAGTCTTATAAGAAATAAAGAGGAAGGAAAAATCAAAGTTAACGAATTTATTAAACGTTTTGAGGATAAAATTATTAAAGGAATTAGTAATGAAATATTTGAAAAAGAAATTGACAAAGAAACTTTAAAAAAAGATTTTCTTAAAATTTGTGAAAAAGAATTGCCAGAAAGTGGAAATAAAATTTATGAAATACCTGAGCCTCTGAACAAACTTTTTAATAAAATTAGAGGAACAAGATCAAAGTTGTTGGATTTGTTTAATTCAAGCAATACATTGGATATTTTAAAGAAAAATAAAGATATTTCATTTTTAATTGAATACGGTAACTTTAAAAATTATTTTCTAGTAAGAAACTAAGGTTGGCGGATCCTGGGAAATCTTCGGATATCCGGATCCGATATCCGAACCGAAAATTGCGGATATTCAGTCTTTTTTGGATCCATATATTCGGATACCCGAATATAATAAATCATAAATTAACTTAAAAAATATTCCAGATTCAAAAGAATTAGATGAATGGATCATTTCAATATATTTATTTATAATAAATAATTATAAACTCGACAAACACTTAGAATATAATGTTAAGCTGGAAATACTAATACAAATAAGATGGCTTGATACTAATTTAGAAAATTATGTTGATAACAATGAATGGATAATTGTACGTAATTTTCTATTAGAAAAAATGGAAAAATATGAAAAGGAAAGTTTAGATAAAAGAAAAAATCTTGATGTTCATATAGTTATTATATTACATAAAATAAATCAGAAAATAAAAGAAAATAGGCCTTTCAATATTATAAAATTGTTGAAAGAAAATTTAAGGGCATTATTAAACAAGCAAATCCAAATGAAAATGAGGATAAAAGGGATGAGGAATTTCTTGATAAATTAAATGCTGAGACAATTAAAACTTTAAAAGAAAAATATGTTGAATTTCGCAAAATAATGAACGGTAAAAATTATCATTTTTAACAAATCTCAGGCTACATTTTGCGACAAAAAATGAAATTAAATAGAATGATAAAATCGCGTGAAAATTTTTATATATGCCCTAAAGGCGTTAAAATATTTTTTGAAGTACTGTACCCCAATTCCCCGTTGATTTTCGAGATTTGAGATCTCGATGAAGGAAGCAGTTAAAGACTTTGTTTTTTCTTTTCAACTTAATATCAATGGAAATGTTTATAGAAAAATAGTTGATAAGGAAAAATAGTTTTGATTTAATCCACGAGCAATATTCCAGCCTAAAAGTTATACTTATCCTATAATTTCAAATTCAAGAAATGAATTCTACACAAAAGTCAAAGATGAATGCGCTCTTTACTCAAGAAGTATCAAAACTAGATTGGGTAAAAAATAACAAAATTATAAATTATATTTTTAAATAATTTTAGTATTCACGAAGTTGTTACTATGTTAAATATCCAATAAAAGATTTTGGTGAGTTCGATTTAACTAATTATCATAAAATAAATATATGTTCCTTTGGTAAAATCAAAATTTCGAGGTTAAAAATAATTTTAGTTATTTTATATATTTTAATTTGACTGATGAATTTTCAGACTTCACAAAAATAAAGCTGATTATTTCTAGGTCATTTCTATTTAAACTAATGCAGAAGGTTAATCAACGACGGGGAACGAATCAGCGTCTTAAATTAGCTGTTTTATTTGTTATCTATTAGTACACAATGCCGCCTATTGAATATCTTTAGGAATTAATTATCTCTCTGATTTAAACAAATTTAATAATAAAAATTTTAATAAATTAATTTTTAGATCCAAGTGATGATTTTTCTTATATTAACTCGATTATGAACAAAGAATATAAAGATATAATATTTTATCTCACAGAAGCAATTGTATATTATATAAATGTACGAAACAGAGTTTCAAGTTTGGATGGTGAACAAATTCGAGAATTTGATGAAAGAACAATGGAAGAACATGGTGTAATAGACTATTTAAAAATTTTAAGATCGCTACCAACTATAAAGATGATAGCAGGAGAAATTGATTTTGAAGGGGATGTTAATAGGAAATTTGGGATTGTTATTCCGAGATGGATTGAAATATTGGAAGATATGATTAATGAGGTTAAACTTTGTTTTGAAATAAAAAATAAACCACTACTTTTATTTTCAATAGGTTTAGTATTCCCAAAAACTTATTTGAATATAAAACTCTTCTCAGTTAGAGTTACGGAATATCGGTATTTTCGGTAAATAACGAAACAGAAAAGATACCGATTCTTTACAAGATCGACCGGCATAGTACCGCCGGTTGAATTTAATTATATTAATTAATAATTATATTCTTTTAAATTGTTCGATTTAAAAAAGTTAATATTAAAATATTTAACGTAAAATAGTATAGGATTTTCAGAATGATTTGGAATTTATTGAAAGTATTATTACAAATAAAATTAAATTTGAAAGTCTACAAATAAATTATTTGGAATGGTTAATAGGTTATTCCTCAATCGTTAGAAATTATTTATGTCAATCAAATGAGGAAGATGTGAAGAAGTTAAAGACGAATATAGCACAAATGTTTGGTAATGAAATGCTTCTCGAACTAGAAATTACACAACCGAATGCTTTATCAATTCGTCCGTATTCTTTTAAATAAATAAACGTTCCAACAAAACTTGTTTTAATTATACCCCGATATAATAACACACTTAGGGTCCGAACAATCAGGTAAACGTCTGTGAAAATATTAGAGTAAAATAGAGGTCCAGCCTGGATCTAAACTGAAAAACCTGGGCTAATTTGTGTCCAATTTTGTACAACTTTTATAAAATATTTTATCTTTTTGGTTAATTCGTGAACATAAAAATCCAAAAGTTTTTGACTGTAAAATTGTTGGTTACCTAAGAGAATAACAATTTCAATCAACCGCCTACTCTATCGGAAACGGAAATTAACTGTTGCCGATAGAATAAGAATTAACGAAGATATAAGTTGAATATAAAATTTTATTTAACAGCTTAAATTTGGGTAATTAAACCGTTTAAAAACATTGAGAAAGAGAATCTAATTATATAATTGAGAAGGGTTTGTGTGTCTGTCTGTTTGTCCTTTTATAGACAAGTGGGTTTTTATAGTAAAATGATTTGGGGGAGTGAGGAAATGGGGGCTTTTATAGTAAAGCGTTGCCTGTTGAATTAGGTTGTAAGGGTATTCAGATAGTATAAAAGCAGGCTATTTTGGTCAGTCTTCAACTTCTCAACATTGCTGTGCTCTTCTACGTCAACTTTTGCTGGAGTCCTGTGTCCCCTTGAGCTAGACGTCAACGTTCATTTGTCAAGTGCTAGGCGTCAACGTTCATGTGTCAAGTGCTAGACGTCAACGTGTCAAGTGCTAGACGTCAACTGTCAAGTGCCAACGTCACTTGAAGTGCCAGGCGTCAACGTTCATTTGTCAAGTGCTAGACGTCAACGTTCATGTGTCAAGTGCTAGACGTCAACGTTCATTTGTCAAGTGCTAGACGTCAACGTTCATGTGTCAAGTGCTAGACGTCAACGTTCATTTGTCAAGTGCTAGACGTCAACATTCATTTGTCAAGTGCTAGGCGTCAACGTTCATGTGTCAAGTGCTAGACGTCAACGTGTCAAGTGCTAGACGTCAACTGTCAAGTGCCAACGTCACTTGAAGTGCCAGGCGTCAACGTTCATTTGTCAAGTGCTAGACGTCAACGTTCATGTGTCAAGTGCTAGACGTCAACGTTCATTTGTCAAGTGCTAGACGTCAACGTTCATGTGTCAAGTGCTAGACGTCAACGTTCATTTGTCAAGTGCTAGACGTCAACGTTCATGTTGTTACGTCCGGAAGTGTCCGAGATTTGACTGAATGTTGACGTGCACAAGAACAACAATTTATCCGGTGTAGAAATATACAAAGTGTAGGCGAAGGTTAAAGGGTTGGAACAGACGACGGAGATCAGTGACTAGCCTCGCTAGTATGATCCCACTAGACTGACGCTTTCACTGGCTTTTATACTATAGCGATACCACTACACAACACCTCCCCTCTTGAAAAAAAGGTTCGGCTTCACTTAAAGCCGAAGCTTTCAATGTTGTGACAATATCACTATAGTCTTTTAGACTATTATTCAATCTTTTAAAGCCAGAGCGTCTGTCTCACTTAGCAAACACTCATTAACAAAATACAAAGATGTTGGATGACAAAAAAGGGCAAAAGGACAAAACAACAAATTAAATTTACAATACAAGAATTTATATAATCAAAATTTGTCATCTTTGATCCACATCTTTTTCTTTCTTCTTTAGTGCAGTCATCGTTGTAACAGTGCTTTCGTTGTCGTTCTTGTTGACGTTTACAGCGAGCGCAGAGGAACAAAACAGAGCAATCGCACGTCCTTGATTGTCACTTTTTGATCTGTCACTGCTTTTCCATAAGCTCACTTAATGTTTCGTTGCAGGCTCAGAGGATCACTTTTTTGATCTTGGCACTGCTCGTGTATTGACTAATAATTTATTTACTGCAGACTCAGAGGATCACTTTTGAATCTTGGCACTGCTTGACTTTTTATTGCAGGCTCAGAGGATCTACTTACGATCTTGGCTCTGCTTAAGCATAATTTATACTGAATTTCAATGAACTCAACTCCACAACACTAACATTTCTGCTAGTGCGCAGTACGGTGCCGTTTTTCTGTGTACTTTTAGGATGGCTCGTGGTTGAATAATTTACTTGAATACTACTACTAATTAACCACTCGAAGGATGTCTGATACATCCTGCCTCTTTCAAAGACTAGATACCGCAACACTTTCCTGAACATACACTATGTGTAGTCTGGGTGATTCACTGACAAGGCTTCTTGGTCTTTGACCTCAGCCGAATTACTTTTGGTCTTACGCTTTCTTTTGCGGCCAAACTTGACTTGACTTTTACATTGGACTTATGCTTTCACTGGCTGCCAAGTTTTGACTTTACTTTTTAATTGGGCTTACGCGTTCTTTTGCTGCCAACTTTATACTTTTTTATTTTCATGGCCATAATTTATTTTTCAATTTCAATTTTTTTTTTCAACTTCTGGACTTACATGTTCTTGAATGCCAGGTACTTGAAGAATTCGATCGGCTTGTGCACTTTCAGGACCTACTAGGCTTTTTTTTTGCCTTAAACTAGATTTTTGTTAACCTTAAACTTAGACCACAGGTACTCGCACTGAGTCCTTTTTCGGTCAGACTAAATACTGGTCCACTGCACTGATCTTGATTTTTTTTTGCCGATCACTACACTACGACGTCAGTCCACACTCCTCTTTCACTAATTGCTTATAGCAATTCACTACACTTCGCCACACTACACTAATGCCACTCGTCTCCTTTGAAGCTGTTGTCGATCGTAGTTTGTAGACGAGCAGGAACCGTAGTCGACCGCGCCATTTGTTACGTCCGGAAGTGTCCGAGATTTGACTGAATGTTGACGTGCACAAGAACAACAATTTATCCGGTGTAGAAATATAAAAAAGTGTAGGCGAAGGTTAAAGGGTTGGAACAGACGACGGAGATCAGTGACTAGCCTCGCTAGTATGATCCCACTAGACTGACGCTTTCACTGGCTTTTATACTATAGCGATACCACTACACAACACATGTGTCAAGTGCCAGGCGTCAACGTTCATTTGTCAATTGCCAGGCGTCAACGTTCATGTGTCAAGAGCTAGACGTCAACGTTCATGTGTCAAGTGCCAGGCGTCAACGTTCATTTGTCAATTGCCAGGCGTCAACGTTCATGTGTCAAGAGCTAGACGTCAACGTTCATGTGTCAAGTGCTAGACGTCAACGTTCATGTGTCAAGTGCCAGGCGTCAACGTTCATTTGTCAATTGCCAGGCGTCAACGTTCATGTGTCAAGAGCTAGACGTCAACGTTCATGTGTCAAGTGCTAGACGTCAACGTTCATGTGTCAAGTGCCAGGCGTCAACGTTCATTTGTCAATTGCCAGGCGTCAACGTTCATGTGTCAAGAGCTAGACGTCAACGTTCATGTGTCAAGAGCTAGACGTCAACGTTCATGTGTCAAGTGCTAGACGTCAACGTCACTTGAAGTGCCAGGCGTCAACGTTCATTTGTCAAGTGCTAGACGTCAACGTTCATGTGTCAAGTGCTAGACGTCAGCGTTCATGTGTCAAGTGCTAGACGTCAACGTTCATGTGTCAAGTGCCAGGCGTCAACGTTCATTTGTCAAGTGCTAGACGTCAACGTTCATGTTGTTACGTCCGGAAGTGTCCGAGATTTGACTGAATGTTGACGTGCACAAGAACAACAATTTATCCGGTGTAGAAATATACAAAGTGTAGGCGAAGGTTAAAGGGTTGGAACAGACGACGGAGATCAGTGACTAGCCTCGCTAGTATGATCCCACTAGACTGACGCTTTCACTGGCTTTTATACTATAGCGATACCACTACACAACACCTCCCCTCTTGAAAAAAAGGTTCGGCTTCACTTAAAGCCGAAGCTTTCAATGTTGTGACAATATCACTATAGTCTTTTAGACTATTATTCAATCTTTTAAAGCCAGAGCGTCTGTCTCACTTAGCAAACACTCATTAACAAAATACAAAGATGTTGGATGACAAAAAAGGGCAAAAGGACAAAACAACAAATTAAATTTACAATACAAGAATTTATATAATCAAAATTTGTCATCTTTGATCCACATCTTTTTCTTTCTTCTTTAGTGCAGTCATCGTTGTAACAGTGCTTTCGTTGTCGTTCTTGTTGACGTTTACAGCGAGCGCAGAGGAACAAAACAGAGCAATCGCACGTCCTTGATTGTCACTTTTTGATCTGTCACTGCTTTTCCATAAGCTCACTTAATGTTTCGTTGCAGGCTCAGAGGATCACTTTTTTGATCTTGGCACTGCTCGTGTATTGACTAATAATTTATTTACTGCAGACTCAGAGGATCACTTTTGAATCTTGGCACTGCTTGACTTTTTATTGCAGGCTCAGAGGATCTACTTACGATCTTGGCTCTGCTTAAGCATAATTTATACTGAATTTCAATGAACTCAACTCCACAACACTAACATTTCTGCTAGTGCGCAGTACGGTGCCGTTTTTCTGTGTACTTTTAGGATGGCTCGTGGTTGAATAATTTACTTGAATACTACTACTAATTAACCACTCGAAGGATGTCTGATACATCCTGCCTCTTTCAAAGACTAGATACCGCAACACTTTCCTGAACATACACTATGTGTAGTCTGGGTGATTCACTGACAAGGCTTCTTGGTCTTTGACCTCAGCCGAATTACTTTTGGTCTTACGCTTTCTTTTGCGGCCAAACTTGACTTGACTTTTACATTGGACTTATGCTTTCACTGGCTGCCAAGTTTTGACTTTACTTTTTAATTGGGCTTACGCGTTCTTTTGCTGCCAACTTTATACTTTTTTATTTTCATGGCCATAATTTATTTTTCAATTTCAATTTTTTTTTTCAACTTCTGGACTTACATGTTCTTGAATGCCAGGTACTTGAAGAATTCGATCGGCTTGTGCACTTTCAGGACCTACTAGGCTTTTTTTTTGCCTTAAACTAGATTTTTGTTAACCTTAAACTTAGACCACAGGTACTCGCACTGAGTCCTTTTTCGGTCAGACTAAATACTGGTCCACTGCACTGATCTTGATTTTTTTTTTGCCGATCACTACACTACGACGTCAGTCCACACTCCTCTTTCACTAATTGCTTATAGCAATTCACTACACTTCGCCACACTACACTAATGCCACTCGTCTCCTTTGAAGCTGTTGTCGATCGTAGTTTGTAGACGAGCAGGAACCGTAGTCGACCGCGCCATTTGTTACGTCCGGAAGTGTCCGAGATTTGACTGAATGTTGACGTGCACAAGAACAACAATTTATCCGGTGTAGAAATATAAAAAAGTGTAGGCGAAGGTTAAAGGGTTGGAACAGACGACGGAGATCAGTGACTAGCCTCGCTAGTATGATCCCACTAGACTGACGCTTTCACTGGCTTTTATACTATAGCGATACCACTACACAACACATGTGTCAAGTGCCAGGCGTCAACGTTCATTTGTCAATTGCCAGGCGTCAACGTTCATGTGTCAAGAGCTAGACGTCAACGTTCATGTGTCAAGTGCCAGGCGTCAACGTTCATTTGTCAATTGCCAGGCGTCAACGTTCATGTGTCAAGAGCTAGACGTCAACGTTCATGTGTCAAGTGCTAGACGTCAACGTTCATGTGTCAAGTGCCAGGCGTCAACGTTCATTTGTCAATTGCCAGGCGTCAACGTTCATGTGTCAAGAGCTAGACGTCAACGTTCATGTGTCAAGAGCTAGACGTCAACGTTCATGTGTCAAGTGCTAGACGTCAACGTCACTTGAAGTGCCAGGCGTCAACGTTCATTTGTCAAGTGCTAGACGTCAACGTTCATGTGTCAAGTGCTAGACGTCAGCGTTCATGTGTCAAGTGCTAGACGTCAACGTTCATGTGTCAAGTGCCAGGCGTCAACGTTCATTTGTCAATTGCCAGGCGTCAACGTTCATGTGTCAAGAGCTAGACGTCAACGTCACTTGAAGTGCCAGGCGTCAACGTTCATTTGTCAAGTGCCAGGCGTCAACGTTCATGTGTCAAGTGCTAGCTGTCAACGTCACTTGAAGTGCCAGGCGTCAACGCTCATTTTTAAAAGATAGGCGTCAACGTTCATTTGTCAAGTGCTAGGCGGCAACGTTAATGTGTCAAGTGCTAGGCGCAACGTTTATGCAGGCAGAATATTGAACAGGGGGAATTGTGAAGCAGGGGGAGTTGTGAAGCAGGCGGAATATTGAAACAAGGGGAATTGTGAAGCAGGCGGAATATTGAAACAGGCGGAATATTGAACAAGCGGAATTGTGAAACAAGGGGAATTGTGAAGCAGGCGGAATATTGAAACAGGCGGAATATTGAATAAGGGGAATTGTGAAGCAGGCGGAATATTGAAACAGGCGGAATATTGAATAAGGGGAATATTGAAACAGGCGGAATATTGATAAGGGGAATTGTGAAGCAGGCGGAATATTGAAACAGGCGGAATATTGAGGGGAATTGTGAAGCGGGCGGAATATTGAATAAGGGGAATTGTGAAGCAGGCGGAATATTGAAACAGGCGGAATATTGAATAAGGGGAATTGTGAAGCAGGCGGAATAGTGAACAAGGGGAATTATGAAACAGGGGGAGTTGTGAAGCAGGGGGAATACTGAAACAAGGGGAATTGTGAAGCAGGCGGAATATTGAAACAGGCGGAATATTGAACAAGGGGAATTGTGAAGCAAGCGGTATTGTGAGAGGCAAGAGGAATTGGTAAGGAGGCGGAATTTTGAAACAAGATGAATTGTGATGCAGGCGGAATATTGAACAAGGGGAATTGTGAAGCAAGCGGTATTGTGAGAGGCAAGAGGAATTGGTAAGGAGGCGGAATTTTGAAACAAGATGAATTGTGATGCAGGCGGAATATTGAAACAGGTGGAATTGCGAAGTAGTCGATATTGTGAGAGGCAAGGTGAATTGTAAAGCAGGCGGTATTGTGAGGCAAGGGGAATTGCGAAGCAGGGGAATATTTAAACAGAGGGAATTGTGAAGCAGGGAGAATTGAGGAGAAAAAATGTGTAAGCGAGAAGGCCGGCCAAAGGCTTTTGAATCGGATCTTGAGTTGAATTGTTTTGTTATGCTAGCGGAGTGAATTGTTTTGTTATGCTAGCGGAGACACGACGCCTGTGAGTACCCTATCAGCTGCACCTATTAGATGCTTTGCTTTGTTAAATGTATTGGTAATCAGGAAATGTTTTAATGCTGGTCAATGTCATGATAATCGGGTTTTTGATTATGATTGGATTAGGGCCAATTTTGAGGTTGTGATAAGTTGATTTGGAGTTTGTTTTTTGGTTTGTTTTGTTTTTGCTAGCGGGGTGGGGCGGCCGAAGGCCGACCAACTCCGCTAGTGAAAATAAATATCAATTTGTAATGTGAATTATTGTTTATACACGGGAACACTAGAGTCTCGGACGTTCCAGACAACTAGTCCTTTCCAAACAATTAAAAAAATCTAATCTACAACCAATTTAAACTTGTTCATTTTGCAGATTTAATGGAAGAATCAACAAAAATTTATCTTTATGAAAAGTTTTTGTCAGGTGAAAATAACTCTTTGGATGCTAAAAATTCCGAATTACGAATAGCATTGTCATTTTTAAAAGAAATATTTTTTAAAATTGTAAATGAAATAAAAGAAAATTTAAAGAAAATAAATAAAAATAAAATTGTTTTAGAGAATATTTTGAATGGAATAAAAGAATTTAATAATAATTTAACAAACAAATTACAAGAGGAAAATCCTCTCCCAAAATGTGTTTGCTTGTTAATTAGATTTAATATTCTTTTAATAAAAACTTTAAATAATGTAAAAGAAATAAATTCAAAATTATTTGATGAATTAAAGAAAAAAATTGAAAAAATTAAAACAAAAAAAGAAATGTTAACAAATACAGAAAATTTGGAGATTTGGGAAGGGAAAGAATGTGAAGATGAAGGGGAACAAGAAATATCATTTATTGAACAACGAGGATTTTTACAAGAAGAACATTTAGAATTTGTTAAGAAAAATAAGAATATTTTATTAAAAAATATAGAAATGAAAAAAAGAATGGAAATTTTAATTCCAAATTTTAAAAATATTTTTTATTTCGAAAAAAGTAAAGAATTTGGAGATAATTCAAAAATAAAAGAATATTTTATTGAAATAATTAGTAATACAAAAATTGATAAAAATAAAAAAGATGAACTGAAAAATTATTTTGATTTAATTTATTCGATAACTACAAAATGGATGGATAAATTAATTAATAAATTAACAACTAAAAAGGAGAGTGGGGCCTCAATTAAAAATTTAAGTTTAATTTGGAAAAATATTAAAGGACATCTTGGAATTAATTTAGAATATTTTAAAGAAGACAAAAATAAAATTAAAATAATTTTATTTAAAGAAATTGGGAGAATGTTTTTAAAAATTAAAAAAGAAATTAATTATTTAGAAATTCCTGAATGGATAATTGAAGAAATATTTGAAGAAAACAAAAAGTCTGAAGAAATTGATGAAGAAATAATTGAAAAATTTGATAACTGGATTGATAAACTTGTTTTTGAAGAATTGAAAGGACAATTAGAAAATCGTGATGCTTGGATCGGGACTAATAAAAAGAAGGGATTTGGCATGAAATTAAAAGGTACCTTGAATGTATTAATTAAGGAACGGTTATGAAAAAAACTAAAATAATCGAGATTGATCTTTTGTGAAAAAAGAGGATGAAACACAGTTTGTGTTCTGAAGTAACATAATTAATTTTGGCAGAACGAATCAAGTCAACAATTGTAGTTTTAGTGATACTTTAGCCAAAGACTAATTTCCCGATAATAAATAAAAATTTCCCTATAATTTCCCTATAAACCATACTTTCGATAATATTCCAATCTCTTTTTTCTAATTTTTAGAGTTGTACGTTAACAACGATAAAGATACAATTAAGCAATTAACATTTATATTGCGATCATCAAGCAAGACAAAGGAGATTTTGGATATTTTGGATAAAGGTTTTGATGGTTTCCAAAAAGAAAAACTAAATGTTGATAAAGATTTGACCAAACTTTCAAAAGCAGAACAAGAAATTTTAGCTGAAAAATCGGTTGAATTTCGATAAATACTTATATTAAGAGAAATTCTTAAAAAATAATTTTAGATAAATGAAATATTGAAAGAAATAAAAGAAGAAAAGCAAGACAAGGAAAGTTTGAATGATAATTTATCTGAATTATACAAATTGGTAAGTTATTAATTGAGTTTGTGATTAGTTGAATTAAAATTTAATTAAGTAAAATTTTTGGGCTGATCCATTTTTTTTTTGATTTAAGTAAGCCTAAGGATTTTCTAAAACAAACATCACTGAAATCATATGTATATATCGATAATTTTTCATGACCGAAAAAACTATCTTGAGATTTCTAAAAAATTTGTTAAAATTATTTTTATTATTGAATTCTTTATAGATAATCGAAACCATTCTTTAAATCTAAAAAATTTTTTATTGTACATGCACATTTCTCAAAATTTAATTTATTTAGACTGGAAACTATAATATAATGATTACAAATATTTTAAATATTGAGATACTCGAGGATCCGACAATTGAAGGAATTGCTTTATTTTATTATGATAATCATTCAAATATTAAAATAATTAAAGAGAATTTCTTAGGGAAAAACATTTGTAATTTAAAAGAAAAAAAGGAGTGTAATGATTTGTCTTTTTATTGTTACATTTGTCAGGTTATTTTTAATTATAATTATTAATTAATTTAAAAATTTTAAAGAATATTCAAGTTACTAAACTTGTCAAAACTCTAAATGGCTGGCCTTCAATTAAGTTTAAATTTAATGGGCTTGAAGTTAATCTTAATTTAGCTATAGTGAATAATGAAATTTATTCTTCAATTAATTCTAAAAATGAAAAAATGATTGAAGAAACGATTAAAAAATTTTTAAAATCAACAAATATCAATATGAACACACAGATTACAACTAAATTTTTATCTGGTAAATATTCAATGTAAAAATTATTAGTACTTTAAAATTTGCAATACTTTATTCTGAGTTGATTTCAAATAAAATTTCACTTTCATGATTCTATAAGGAGAAAAGTGTTAGCAAAATTTTGTGTGCTAAGCTTTTACTTAATCTTTATTTCAAATATGTAGATTTGAGCCCGGCTTTTACGATATTTATCGAAAAATATCGACAGACCCTTCCGTCCGATCTCTAATATAGATTGTTCAACATAACTTTAAATCTTTCAATTAAAACATTTTTATAAATAAAGTTAAATTACTAACACTTTTTGACTAAAATTTAATTTTAAGATTATTATTTCAATTTAACGATGATGTCCCTTCAAAGTAAATTGGGAGAACGTTTTAAAACATTAATTGTTTCACTCACAAAGTGGTGCAAAAGTAAATTTAATTATAATTATTTCCAAAAAAATAACTAATTAATTAAGATCATTCAATTTATGGTGAAAATTTTGGGTTTTTGAATGACAAAGCTTTAACTAGCTTGGCTTATTATTTGCTCGTTAAACATAAAAGTCTGCCTTTGGTGAAAATTTTGGGGCATTTTCATTTAATTTTTGAGAAAAAATTTGAATTAAAATTTGTAGAAAAAGTTGAAATTCACAAAAAGAAAATGAAAGAAAATTTTGAAATTAATTTTAGTAATGAACACAATTATCCAAATACTAAATGGGTAATTTTAAATTCTGAATTTTATAAAGAAAATGTTTTACAAAAATTAAACAAATCAACAGAAAAAATAATTCTTCGTCAAATGAAAATTGGTTTTTGATTTAAAATAATTCTGATTTTTTTGTAAAAAATTTTAAGGTTCTGAAAAGTTAAATTATTTGAATGAAGAAATAGCGAAAGAATCCTCTGATGATATAATGAAGGAAAAATGGTTTAAATGGTTGGGAAATGATAAAACATTTGTTGAGCAGGTTATAAGTTTATAAACGGGTTGTTAATGGGTGATCGAACGTGATTCATCCAGTTGGAAAAAAGTCTGCTATCATGTACTCTCGCAGGATATATGATTTATTGTTTTTGTGTTAGACAAAACAAATGGCCCGTTCCGTTTCATAAATTATAAAACACAGAATCACATTTTTAAACATTATTATAACGTCAAAGAAAATATAAAAAAATCAAAAAATTAACCGAAATAAAAAAATATAAAAATAAATTTCAGTATGAGAATTTATTGCTAATAATCTGTTCACATTCAAATGATTCATTAAGAGGACCTCAGTTTTGTGATTATGTTGAATCAAGTCTTCGAGAAAAGCTTCAGAATGAACTGGAAAAATTGGAAGATGTTGAATATATTCATATTAACCCGTTAAAATTGTTAGATTCTGAAGATTGCCCTAAAAGTTTGATAGAAATGAATAAAAAGTTGGAGGTAATTTTGTTAGATTAAATTTAAAATAATATTATTTTTAAGGAAAGTTTGTGCAGTATTTGGGTAGCTGGTTTAGAGCAAAAAGAAAACGAAATTAAAGAAGAGTTTAAAATGAAATTAGCCAATTATCAGAAAAATTTGAAAGAAAATTTTGAGATGGAAACTAAAGAAGTTTCAAATGATTTTGTGCTTGGCTTTAAATATTTGAAGAGAACTGAGTTGGAAAATATTATTCCAAAAAGAGGAAAAAAGAAAGGAGGAGATTAGTAAAGATGTAGATAGTTGGATATCATGTTGGATATGAAAGGCATGGAGCTCTTTTATTGGGGTTTAAAGTCGGAGTGTTATGTCTTTGTCCAATGTCGTGGTTTATTTTAAATTTTTTTATTTAAAAATGGGGTTGGGGTAAAGCAAATTTATTTTTTAAAAATCAACTTTGTAAATTTTAAGTTTTTTTATGTACGATTATTTTTATTTTTTAAATTTCTATTTTATTTTTACAAATTTTAAAATTTTTGAGTATGATAGAATTACATAAATTATATTTTAATGCATATACATTTATAATTATGTTTAAAAGTAAATCGAAAATGCCGTATTTACAGGAACTCGATATAATGAATGTCGGAAATCATTATTATCGAGGCTCGCATCGACATAAGACTATAAAATTATTCTAAATTTTTATTGAGCCTTTTTATTGTTCGGATTTCCTTCCTTTTTGTTATTAATGGTTTTCAATTTCCCAAGCGGTGTAATAAGCGGAAACTTTTCCTCTTCACCTCGAGCGGTGATTTCTCCCCGATCGGAGTGAGCGTTCCTTTTAACATTAACTCTATCAAAGCTTTTTACAAGAAAAGGAAGGAAAAATGAACAAAGTCTAAGGATCGCGACTGACATTAACAATGATTGGAAAAATAATTAAAGTTAAAGCAATAAATTAAATCTGGGAAAATTGAGTCTTAACGTTCTGGAATTCTTAAACATCTGGAATTGAACATATTCAGAGTTGGAAGTCATTTGAACTGGGTTGAGATCCTAACAATTAATAAATTTAGAATAATTTTATAATTTTATTTTGAGTAAAGCTCGACAATTATTTCAATATCAAAAACGTCGAAATAGAATTTTCGATTTACCTTTATTTTTGAAAAATTATATACATTTTTTATGTTTTATTTTATCAGTAAATGCATAAATTTTCAAGTCTATGTATTACATTTTTCTACTATGATATCCTAACCTTACGGTTCGATTCCATATCCGGAGATTTCAAATAATCAACAATTTACGTTATGCAAACAAAACAAGAATTTCTGTTTTGACACAAGGAAATCTGTGATAAAATATTTATACTAAAGCTAACTAAAATATAATTAATTTAAATTTTCGAAGAAAACTCTTTAATTATATTAAAATTCTTAATTCGTTTAAACATTTACTTCCTTCTTCCTCATGTCAACAATAAATGTTATTTTAATTTTATCAAAATAAATATTAAAAGCAATAAAGATTTTATTAATGTATGATGAAAATGTAATTTTTATTCCTTTAAAGCATAGGCAGTTAAATAAATAAATACAAATGTAAATAAAATAAATTTAATAAAAGAAAAATCCAGTATTTTAAATTTTCTTTAATTCGATCACAAAATTTAGTATTTTTAGTTAACTTATAATTTTTTTAGGTTAAGTAATTTATACTTACATATATTAAAGGAAATTATGAATAATATTCTAATACTTTTATTCCTATATATTCCAATATCCGTCTATTGCCAACAACAATGCCATACTTTGACTCCAATTTATAATATTTGTAAATTTATTTGTGATGTTTGTTCAGATGAAGATAATACACGAAACTGTCTTGCAGTTAAAGGAATCTGTTCTAATTTCTATAAATGTACTTGTGATATATTTAAATAATTAATTTATATATTAATGAAGTTTATAATAATATATGTAAAGATAAATTGAAATATTAAAAGAATTTGCAAATATTTTATCTATACTTTACTTGTTCATTTTTTGAATTAGTTTTAAATAAATTTCCCAGTTAAAATAAAATTTATTTTAAATGTTCTATTTGTGTTCATAAAGGTTAGCCAAAACTCATGACCGCAATAAAAAACGCGCGGAATCACAATTTGTCGTTTACACATCTGTAGGACAGACTTCTTTAATATATGTTTTTGGAAATTAATGTTTGTTTTTTTTTGTGTTTCGCCCACCAGTCAGCATTGAATTATATTTAGAAATTTCATTTACACTATAATTATACATATTAAATCACAAAATTATCTTTTCTATAGTTATACAATGTGATTATTAACAAAAAATTTTCTTGTAATTAAATCATAATAATTAAATATTTTAGATATTCAACTTTAACTTCCATCAAATTAAAACTCCACATTTTATATAATGTCATTATTCTTTCCTTCAATTTGTTCAGATTCATTATTTTTCATGTTCAGATTCATCAAATTTTCAATTATCAAAGCTTCTCTAATTGCATTTTCAACACTTTTCTCGATTTTAACTTCGTTATATTCTTTTATAACTTTTGAAGCTATTTCTATTGTATTTATTTTGCAGAATTTACATACTTTATCAACATATCTTTGCTGAATGATTGAGGATTCTAAAACAGCTAATTAATTTGTGCTTATTTAATAGTGTTAACATTTATAATTAGTTAATAATTCTTCTTTGTTTACCACCTATTTCCTACTTTTTGCTTTATCTATTTTCATTAAGTACCTATTTTCGGTAAATGTCCAGCTCGCATTCTACCTTCTGCAAATGCTGTCCGCAAAGGCATTCTGTAAAAGGCATTTTTGCTGCATTCTCCTCCTTTTCTTCTTTCCTTTAATTTCCTAAGAGTCATCAAATGATTGGTTGACAGCTTGGCGTAATTTTTTGTGGCGTCGTTCATGAAAATGTTTAATTTACAAATAATTTAATAAAAATTAAAAAATATAAATTAGTGATGGAGTTGTAGATCAAGGGAACCTTTAACTAGGCTGGGTTGTAGTTAATGTAATATTAAAAACCAGGGATGTTCATAGATACGGATATGTAATATCGGCAGATACCACAAAATATCCACAATATCCTTACATATTAATACAGAAGAAAATCTGGATTTTTGGTCTACCAATTTTCTCAAAATTACAACCCAGCCTAGTTAAAGGTTCCCCTGATCTACAACTCCATCACTAATTTATATTTTTTAATTTTTATTAAATTATTTGTAAATTAAACATTTTCATGAACGACGCCACAAAAAATTACGCCAAGCTGTCAACCAATCATTTGATGACTCTTAGGAAATTAAAGGAAAGAAGAAAACGAGGAGAATGCAGCAAAAATGCCTTTTACAGAATGCCTTTGCGGACAGCATTTGCAGAAGGTAGAATGCGAGCTGGACATTTACCCCTATTTTCTAATATTAATATTTATTTTTCTTTTAAAATAAATATTTTCTTTTGTCAAATTTTCGACAAAACTTGTCTAAACACTGAATTAATTGACACTTTTACCAACAAAACTGGAACACAGTGGCGTGCAAAAAACACAAAAAAATCAAACACACAACTTACATACATGTCTAATATGTATAAGAACAAAATAGTTATATAGAAAAACACAGACCAGATTGTTTCTATATCTAATTTAAAAAATTAGTATAACGGCTACTTATTGTGAACTTATTGTTAACTGTTTATAAGTTGTCAGTGAATATGTGATACTTATGTTCAATTTTACCAAATACCGAAAGTTCAGAGGCTAAAGACTTGGCACATCTTGAAATCAAAAAAACTAACCTAAATTAGGACTTGCCAGAGTTCCAAGGGTTGTCATTCCAACATTTAAGCTATTTAATGATCCGTGTTGCGAGCGTCTAATATCTGCATTTTGCAAATATTTTTTTTTACAATTTTCAGCATCTTTTTCGTTAAATTTTCTTCCAAGATTGCACAGATAAGCAGCTAAATAATTTAAACAAATAGTTCCATAGGCATTTCTTTCATCTTCATCAATAAAATTGTTATCAATAAAATTAAAAAGTTTTTTCAAAATTTGTTGAATTAATTCATCAAAATCTTTAATTAATGGCTTAGAATTTCCTTTAATTGCATCCTTCATTTTTTCCCATTTATTGTTGCTACTATTACTTTTTTCGAGACGTTTTTTACCAACAAATATTGATAATGCATGTTTAACTTTGTTATATTCCAAAAGATTTTCAATATCAATTAATTCATCTGTTTCAACCAGGAAAGGACCTAAAATTTGTTTTATTTTAAATATTATTTTGATACTATTACTAGAGACCGGATTTTATTGAAATAAAATGTTTTATTGAAATAAATGCCCTTATTATTTGATTCACTAAAAAGTCCCACTGGACAAAACCCCTCAAAATGTTCAATCTTCATTTCGTCAATTTCATAATGTTAAAGAGAGTAAAAATACTCACTACAAAGGCTCGACCTTCCGAAAATTTTTCTATACATATTATAGGATTTTTTTCTTAAACTCAAACGGTCTAAAAATCTTAACTTTTCCTAGCATAACTAGCTATTAGATAACTTTATACTCTTAATCAGACTTGCTCATGGACTTGAATTCTGATATTCGTGTCCAGATACAGTGTGTCCGAAAATGATATAAGCAACTAGGATAATTCTGTTTTGAATGTTTCAAGAAAGTTATTGTCGCGAACACCCGAGACTAGGGTACCGTGTATAAATATATTTATTTTTGTGTGTGCACGTGAAACACCCGCTTCCTTTGGCTGTGCACACATTCCAATCAATTTCCAAGTTTTTTTTATAGAAATGAAAATTTTTTAGCGATTAGACAACAATTTCTCCCTATTATGCAAATTCGATTTCGCGATCCCACAACATTTCTCACAATATTCATTAATGTAAATAAATTATTTCAAAGAAGATAATCATCAATCCCCCCACTATATAAATAATTCAACACTACTAATCTCAACTTCATTGTCTATTTCCCACTTGGGACCAACAACATTCTGGAAAATGCTCCCTACTGCGACCGATCCCCCAGGCTTTGGCAAAGGGAAAGAGAACAGTAAGGAGCAACCTTGACAACTCAATGATTGGCCGTCACATTTTTTACCGGGTGATCCTGATTCGGACACAAGAAAATTATAACTTTATCATTTCGCTATTTAATTGATTCACACATTTTCACATTCATTTTTAGTTCGCATTTTCATGGTATTAAATTGGTTTAATTACCCAAATTTGAGGTGTTAAAATAAAATATCTATATTCAAATTATTATCTTCTTTAATTCTTATTCTATCTGCAACATTTAATTTGCGTTCCGATAAAATAACAAAAAATTCAAGTGGTTATATCATTTCCGGAGACACTGTATATCCGAGGGTATTCTGATTTTATCCGTTTCCATGAGCAGTTCCCCTCTTAATCATAAAATTACCGTTATATTTCTCAGTCAAATTAATTTCATTTTCATAATTTAAAATCCACGGTTTTACTTGTATTCCTTTCCATCTTTCATTATTTTCAAACCCTAAATGTTTTTTTATTTTTTCAACAAATTCAAAAAGTATCTGAATTTCCCAATTAACATAATCATCTTCAAATTTATTTGAACTGCTTTCTTTTTTCTTTTCTTTTACTTCAGTAATTTCATCTAAATCTTCTTCTTCTTCTTTTTCTTCTTCAACTTTTCCCTTTCCTTTTCCATCAAAATAATTAAAATTATTTTTATTTAATTTATTTTCCGATTCTTTCATAAAATAATTTTTCAAATTTTCATTTTTTAATGGCCCTTCAAAATATTGAACAAGAACAGAAAACAAAGAAAGATCTGCTCTAGTTATTTTATCACCAAAAAGAAACCCTTTATTTTGAATTAATCTTTCAGAGATTATTTTAAATTTTTGTTCAAGTAAATTTGGAGATTGCTGGCTTGATTGAGTATTTCTTTGGTCAAACTTTATTTTATCCAAATATTTTTTTAACTAAAAATTTATTAAATTATATAAGACAATTATTTTAGATTCATATAATAAGGGAAGGGTCGGATCGGTTTTGGTGTGTTTAATTAATTTTGTCAAGACAGAGAATCTCGACAGGGCGATTAGAAATACTCATAGGTATGTAGGTTTAGGATTTATATGGACTAAAAAGCGCAAAAGATAGACTGAAATGTGACTAAATACTAAAATATATGTATGCAAATATGAAATTTTTAATGGAAATTTTTAACAAAGAATTTTTTTTCATAATTAAAAATGTTTTTATTTTTTTTTTTATAAACTAATTTATTTATTAAATTATCTAACCTTAAATTTTAAACTTTTTTCTCCATCGCCAATAAAATGATTATTCAAAATTCCATCTATATATTCATTTATCCATTTATTTAATCTTTGCCAATCATCCAACTCTAGTGAATGTGAACGAGAATCCAAAAATGGGGTAATATATTTTTTAATAAAAATTTTAATTTCCCTTTCATCTTCTTCACTAATTCTATCCCCAATATTTAATTTAAAATAATATATCCAAAAATTTCTTCCAATTATTATTATATAACGATAATTTTCTGTAAAAATTGTTATTTGTTTGTCATCCCAAAATTGAGGCAAAAAGCTAATTAATTGTTCTCTAATCCCTTTATCTGAGATTAAAAATTCTAATCCACTTTTTCCTTTGATTTTTGTTAAACGGTCATTCATTAAAGTACTTAAATTAATTAATTTATTTAAATTACTTTGAATTATTTGTCTAAGCATTATAAAAAATAATATTTTTAAATTAGAACATTATATGTATAGTCTACATGAAGTCTTAGTTTCCGACGGCAAACACCTTAGACTGAATCTTATTTTATTCTCTACATAAATATGGACAATAACATGCTTGACTTGAATAGTATAATGTTCATGCCGTGGAAAAATTCATTGGATAGGAGACCATCCAACCAGATGATGGGTTATTTATAGAAACAGGATTTTTAGGCAAATGTATGTTTTTTCCCCAAATAGGCCTGATGCTGAAACGTCCAAATCACGCGTTATTTTTATGAAATCTGATTTCAAACAACTTTTATCGTTGCCTATAATTGCTTATTAATTTAATCTTTGAACTAAATTTCCATTGTTTGGTACCAAAAATTGCTAAGTGTCTTGGAGTTAAAATAAAAAAAATTATGAATTTTTGTTAAGTTTGAAGCCAGCTATGGCCAAAACAAAAGTGGCGGAAAAATTGCCGCACCCTGTATAATTCTGATCGTCGAAATCAATTTATTTAACATTTTATTGCTTAAATTTATCTTTTTTGATAAAATTAGTCAATTTAAATCAGAAAATCTCGAAAAAATACTGCCTATTTTGCCTTTTTTTCAGATTTTAGTGCCTATTTTGGCAGTTTGTTAGTGCCTATATTGGCGCCTATTTTTAGCTTTATCGTGCTTAAAATTCCTGTCTCTAGTTATTTATTCTCTTTTATATTTTTTACAAGCGCAAACACAACAAAACTTTTATAAGAAATTATCCGTCACGATTTTAATTTTTAAATTTAATTAATTTTTATTATAATAAACAAACGGAATAAGTATTTCCTCAATAATTTGATTAATTTCAATTTCTTTTTCATTCTTTGCCAATTTCTGTCCCAAATGATTTAAATTATTCATTATATTTTCTGACCCCTCAATGTAAATTCCATTAAATTGAACAAAAGGAACAGTTCCAAATTTTGGAGAGCCAAGCAGAAAATGATTATTAATTCTCTAAACAAAAATTTAATTTAAATAATAAATTAATTTTAAATTTAATTTTTAAAATTTACATAAAACTGAATATTTTTAATTTTCAGCCAACTTTCAATTAATAAACATTTAATTGAGAAATTAGGTAATAATTCAATTCTTGGGTATTGAATTAAATATACAACATTAACTTTCCAATTTTCAACCAAAAGTTTATTTTCCTTCAAAGGTAATTTTAGAAGACCTTAAATATTTAATTATTGTGGTTATTAATTTTTTAATAAATTTTATTTTAACAATTTCTTAAAATTATTATAAAATATTTTTTCGTTTTTATTTATTTTAAAGATATATTTAATGTTTTATTAAATTAATTTATTACCCAAAATTTAATTACTCACCAAGAATTCCACACTGGAATGTTAAAAATATTGAAAGAAAATATGTAAATGATTTCATGAAAAATTCAAAAAAATTTTTTTAAATATTTAATATTTTAATTATTTTAATAAAGTTAATTTAGACAAAAAATAAAAGTTTTTTTAAATTTTCAAGACCCAATTTTGAGTTTTAATGAATAAAATAAGCACTTTTCTATCCCTTTTTAAATTAAATATTTTTAAAAGTGCATTATTTAATTAAATTATTTTATGAAATTCTTTTTTGAATTTCCCGACATTTTAAATATTATCAATAAAATTTAAAGGAAATTTGACAAAAATAATTCTTCTTTTTGTCAAATAAATAATTGCACTTTTAATATTAAAAGTGCATATTTTTGTATTTTAAATTTTTAATTTCCGGAAAAGAATTTATTTTAGAGGAAGTACTTTTTGACGTATATTTTTTATGAAATAAATAATTTCAAAATTAAATTATTAAAATAAAATATTATGTTGAAATAAATTTATTTTTAAATTAAAGTAGTTTCAATAGTGTTCGGCAATCGTATTTTTCTAATACCAATACTGGTAGTACCAAAAAGTACTGTTATTGAAAATACCTACGAAAAATTATCGTAGTACTTCGGTACTCCGGTAATATTCAGACTTTTAATTATTCTTAAAGAATATTTGTTTCTTCCTTGTTTATTAAATTTTCTTAACGAATTTTTTATCAAATAAATTTTTTAGTTAGAATTTTGAAGTTTTAAATTTAAAATAAAGTTTCTTATTCATTTAAAATTCTTTCTTAAATTTCAATATTTTTTTTTGCTGCTAAATAAACCCGAATTTATTTCAATAGTTCACTATTTTTTGCCACTTTTAGCCAATATATGTATTTTATAGCCATATTTTGTATTCTCTCTCTGCCCTCTAGTAATAACTCTTCCTATAGTAATAACTAGGGGGCGGATTTTATTGAAATAAAATGTTTTTTTTTCCAAATACACTTTGTAGAGAGATTCAAACAGTAAATTTTACCTAAAAAAGCGGAAATTCTCTTTTTCATTCGAGAAAGTAAACATTTTCTCTCTCATTTATAGTTAAATGTTTTATGCAAAAAATTTTTATAAATAGAATCATGATCTTGCGGCCAAAAGATTTAATCTTTTTAAAAAATTAGAGGAACAAGATCAAAACTGTTAGAATAGTTTACTTCGAAATATTCAGTTATTTGGCTAAACGACACTTGCGGACTCGGACATGAGGATCGACAATTGCGAATCCGAAACGAATAAAAAATAAAATCAAAAAAATATATTTATAATATGTACTACTTTATTAATATCCCAAAATAAATTACTATAGCTAATTTAAGAATATTTCTCATTTTTCATTACAGATAGTCAAATTAAATTGTTTATTATTCACTAATTCCTGTAATAAAATGAGTCTAATTTAGTGACCTTTTCTAAATTTTTTAATTGAGCCTTATTTGCTGTAAAAGCAAAATTCGTAGACCTCTTGCATTATTATCATTAAACGTTGAAAATATAATAAGAAATAAAAAAATACGAATAAATGTTTCAAATATGATGAAATACTAAACCGGTTGTTTTAAAAATATTATTTTCAAATATTTCTTGCCTAAAAATATATTTCAAATGTTTGTTATCTAATTTCCTTAATAAAATATTCAAAACATTAAAACAGTTACCTTAAAAACATTTACAAAACAGTTAAAAGACTTCACCTTACCCAAACTCATTCAAAACATTCCCTCAAAACATACATTTCTTTTGATCTTAAACTTCCTTTCATTTATTTTAAATAATATTCATTTTCTTATCTGTTTTACAACTTCTCATCTAACCTTCTTCCGGCCATTCCTTAACCATATAAATAATTATTTGTTTTTTACCTTTCAAGCTTGTCTTGAACAAACTTGTTCCCAACCTAAACGAAACCTTAATTAAAAATAAACTTTATTGAATTGTGTATATTTATTTGAATTAGATTAGAGTATCTCAAATTCGAGTATTTTAAGCTAGAAAGAATTTAATTTAAAAAATATTTAATAAAAAAATTTTAATCCATTTTTCTCATTAAATTTAGCTTCATTCTTTACAGGACGTGTCCAAGATGTGAATTGCCTTCCCATAACAGAATAATAATATTCAAGTGTAAAATTACTATTACAATTATTTTCTTCACAACAATCTGTGCAGCTTACCTTTTTAATTTTAAATTAAATTTTAAATTTAACTTGAAAAAAGAAAACTTGGTCTTGTCCATAACCAGTTGATTCACAATTTCTCGAACATTCCTCAGCACATTGACGATTAATTGAAGTAAACGATTTTTGAATTGTTATTATTGTTGTCTTAAAAAATGGGAATTTTTTGATAGACTTGTTTAAAAATAATTTTTTTGTAATTTCCCAGCATACTTTATAAATCAAAAATATAAACGGAACAATCTATATTTTTTATAAGCCTTGAATTAGGAAAGTAAAACCATAACACTAATTTTAGAAAGATCCCAAATTTATCTTAAAATTATGAATTCAACTTTAAATTCCATATAAATTAAAATGGAAATTTAATAAAAAATATATACAAAAAACATACAGAGCAATATTTCTCCCATGGGGCACACTAAAATTTTGAAAATTTATTTTCAAATACTATATGGGCCGCTACATTTTATATTATTTACTATTTTAATTTTTATCAAAAATTTATAACAAAACAAATATGTTACTTATTGGACTGCGGTATTGTTCGAGGAATACATAACAGAATAAAGACAGGACCTAACAACTGTGCTTTATTACAAGAATATATTTAAAATAAGGTAACAATAGGACTACTATAACATCCCTTTCTTTTTATTGATTGATTATCGCCCCGCCCCTGAAGAGACGGGCAGAGAAAATAAGGATGACGTAATCCATACCTTTTGCCACATGACAAAATGCCACGCGACAAAACGCTACGCGATAAAATGCCACGCGACAAAATGCCACGCGACAAATTGCCACGCGACAAAATGCCACGCGACAAAATGCCCAAAAGTTAAAACGCCTAAAAGTCAAAAGGCCATTATTAAAAACGAAATTAATAAATTAATTTTCCAGTGGTCGGGTCGATCCTGTGCCCTCCTGCCTAAAGGCGGGCACACTACCGACCCGGCCACCGGGTAGTTGAATAAATATAAATTATAATTTAACTTAAGCTGATTACCCACCCCCCACAGACAGAGAAAAGGTAGAGCAGAGACAACAAACAAACAAAAAACTCTACTATCCTTTCTGTTGTAAAATCTTTTCTCTTTTCTGCTAAAAAACTTTCTCTCGCTTCTGCAGTAAATCTTTTCTCTCTCTGCTGTAGATTTAGAGCAGAGACAACAAACAAACAAACAAAACTCTTCTCTCCTTTCTGCTACTATAAGCCACTACTTTTGCTTTTCTATTTTCAACAGTTTTTTTTGCGCGGGTGCCCGTCAATCGATCCTTCCTGTGACTTTTCTTTCCTATTTCCAACAGCTTTTTGCTTGTGTGCCCATCAACGGATCATTCCTTTAAATTTCGCAACAAATGGTAGCTTCGGCCAGCTTTGGTGTTAACAGGTCGGATTTTTTAGTTATATGAATTTTAATCGTGATATATAGCTCTTATCTGGCAAATTCCGTTGAGGTACAAATAAAAATGGCTCAGGGAGCAAAGCTGGGCGACGGAGGTTTTGTTTTTCTTTGTAAAATCAAATTGTTTTTTTCCAAATTTCAGGTGAAATTCCTGGTTACAAAGTAAAGAGAGAAATTGCCGCTACAAGAAAATCAACTCATGGAGGTTTGTTCAGTTTAGCAGTTTATAAATTATAACGGGAAAACCTTAAAAATCGCATTCCCGGGATCCCGGAACGTGATTGTGTTTCAAAATTCGACCGGGACAGGATTCCACAGGATTAATCCCGTAAATCCAGTAATCCCGTTTGTCGCCAAAAACCCGGGATTCCGGGACGGGATCCCAAAAATCCCGTATGGGGTCCCGTTCCGTGCCGGGCTCTAATTTAAACTATCTTTTAAGTTAGACTCATCTCTCCTCTTTATCATGGCATTTACATTTTTGATGATCTCGCACAAGTTAAATTTTGATTTTTAGAAATTTTTGATATTTTTTAGTTAATTTATGACTTGGGATGGCGTTCATATGTAATTAATATTGTTTATCAAGCAAGACATGGGCAGAGAGGTTTGGTGGCAGCTTTAGTCAGAATATGCAAGTATATTTTTTAGCAGTTTGATCCTTTTTAGGAATTTTATTTTTAGTGAGGCTTGTTCCGCAGCTCTAGACGGTTGTCAAATTTTAATTCTCTCTGATAGACAAGTTGACAGAGATTACGTTCCAATTAGGTAATTTGTGTTTTTTAAAAAAAGCAAAATTTGTACAGGGCGCTTCTTGCTCTTGGTGCAATAAATTATTATATATATCAGTCTGGTGAAGTAAAGCAGGTTTACGGTGCGTTTAATAATTATCTTTAAGAGTCATTCAAAATTTATTTAGATTTTTGTGTTCTTCTTGGATTTGGTGCTGATGCAATTTGTCCTTATATGGTATATGAGACTTGTTATAGACTTAGAACAATGGGACTTTTGGATAAAAATCTGACAGACGATGCTGTTGTACAAGGGTATGAAGCAGGAATTGAACGAGGCATTTATAAAGTGATGGCAAAAATGGGAATTAGTACTTTACACTCTTACAAGGTATAAAATTTTTTGTTTTCTTAAATTCGTTTCTTGCATAGGGTGCACAAATTTTTGAAATTGTTGGGCTGGGTCGTGAAGTTGTTGACAAATGCTTTACTAATTCTTTGTTTCGGCTTGGCGTTGCTGACTTTGAAACTTTGGTATTGGAGGCAATTCGAAGACATCGGATCGCCTATCCAAATGTACCAAATAGGGATTTATACCTTTATGGTTTGCTTAAAACTCAGAGCTTAATTTTATATTTTTTTAAAAGATGATAGAAAAGTTTTCCTAAGTCCTGAAATTTATCATTGGCGCGATGGTGGAGAAAAACATGTCAATGAGGTTAACATAGCAAAACTTCAGGTTATAAATTCTAAAGAAATCTTAAATTTTACTTTTAAAGGCTGCTGCTCGTTTAAATGATGCCAAGAGTTATCAAGATTTTGCGATAGCTTCAAATCTTGCTCAACGTCTTTGCAGCCTTCGTGGTCAACTGGAAATTAAAACAAACGCTAAACTTCAAATTCCATTGGATCAAGTTGAACCGGCATCAGAAATTGTGAAAAGATTTGTCACTGGAGCAATGTCTTTCGGGTTCGTTCTTTTTATTTTTGATTTAATTTGGTGTTAACATTGCGTTAAAGTAATAAGAGACTAATTCACTTTTTCCATGTAACTGTTTTCAAATGTCTCAAACCATTTTAAAAGTGTTTGTTTAGGGTTATAAGTATGGAAGCTTATACATCATTAGCGTTTGCTATGAATAAGATCGGTGCAAAATCCAACAAAGGAGAAGGTGGTGAGAGACCTGAACGTTATCGGAAGGATCAATCCAAAGACAATAATATTAGGTCAGCAATCAAACAAGTGAGTCTCAAAGAAAGAATAATAGGCAATACAAACCGTTGTTTTGGGGCCCGACCTAGCTACGAGGTATTTGAATAATTAATAAAATTTATAAATATTTTCAAAGATTTCTATTCGTTATGGAGAAGAAGGGTTGCCTGAGAGGCATTCATTGGAAATTAATTTAAAAGGATCCGCTGGACAAAGTTTTTGTGCTTTTTTGGCAAAAGTATTCACTGACAGATTGGAGGGTGAGGCGAATGATTATGTTGGAAAGGTTGGGAATTAATTTTTCTGTTATTTTTGTTCTTAATTTAGTGCCTTTCTGGAGGTGAAATAATAATTCAGCCATACAAAAATTCTAATTATGCTTCTGAAGAAAATACAATAATTGGAAATGTGGCTCTTTATGGCTCAACTTCTGGTTTAAAATTTTCTCAATTTCTAAGTTTTAAATTTTTTATAGGGACAGCATTCTTTCGAGGAATTGCTGGAGAACGTTTTGCAGTTCGTAATTCTGGTGCTACTTCTGGCATCGAAGGTGTTAGTGATCATGGTTGTGAATACATGACTAGTGGACGTGTTATTATTCTTTGTGGAATTGGGAAGAACTTTGCTGCTGCGTTGAGCGGTGTATTGTCAGAGAAACTTGAAGTAAATTTATAGATATTATATAAATATTATTGTAAACTTTCTTTGTTAGTCGTATTATGTTTAAAACTCGAATGTCGGTAATTGACTAGGGTAAGGTTTCAAAACTCTTTAGAAAATACAAATGTGATCTCATTCGGAAGAGTTTGACGAGCCTAGTCGAATGACACCTAAATTAATCAATTTTGTTAATTGATAAAAAATTAAGGACTTAATTTTTAAGGACTCAAAAAATTTTTTTCTTTCCTTTTAAAAGGGAACAAAACAAAAGAGGAATGTTGTAGATAAAATCTTTTTTTTTAGCCATTTAAACAAAAAAAATTTTTCCAATTAAAACAAATAATTTAATCAACCTTTTTCATTAAAATATTTTCATCATTATTTTTATTTAAAATTTTTTACTTATACAAAATCGCTTAATTTAATTCAGACTAGACATGGATACTTATTTTGGTATCCGGATATTTACGGCGGATACAGACGGATATCCGCAGGCATTTCTATAATATTGTACCCATGTTCCAGTCTGATTTAATTAATTTAAAATTTATACTTTTAATATTTCAGAAAAATAAAATTATGCCACGAACAAGCTCTAATTCAACAAACCGCAAGCGCCCAACAAGTGAACAGAGTCCGGGACCTCCTCGACGTCAGCTTAGAATTATAACTTCGCCAACACCTCCACCAGTAGAATCATTACAACAACCTATACAAAATGTAACAAATGCAACACTAAACACAAATCCGGATTCCCAGGTAGATTTGTGAATTTTCTAAAAATGTAAAAATATATTTATTTTGTAAATTTTTCGGGAAATTTATGCCTGATATTTTTTTCAGTGTTTTTGTCTTTCTATTTCAGATTAAGTATTTCCTAAAACTAACACTAATATTTATTCTCTTGTTCAATTTTTAATTTACATATTTAGGTTCCGGCAAGTGAACAGATGTGGTCTTTGTATCCAACACAACAAAATCAAGTAAATTTGATTTAATTTAAAAAAAAATCTAAAAAACTTTAAATTACCATGGTTAAATTAAATGAAAGAAAAACAAAATTTGTTTAATTTTTAAAAAAATTTCTTAAATTTTAATAATAAAGGTTGAGGGAATGACTTCAACAAATGCGGCACCAATGCCAATGCCTGTAGCCGCAGCTCCAGCTCAGGTATTGTAATATTGTAAAATCCTAAAGAAAATATATATATTAGAAAAAATATATATTTTTATATTAGTTTTATTCTTAACTAATTAAAAAATACTACATTTAAAAAATTTTATTTTTTTTGTTTAAAGATTGTTGCAGTTGTTGAAGCGGATCGAATGCCTCAGGATATAGCTGCGCAGGTAAATAAAATATTTAAACCAACAAAGTTTAATACGTTTAGGTGAATTAAAATTTTTTAAATTTTAATTTTTTAAAAATTAAAATTTTTTAAATTTTTTAAATTTTAATTTTTTAAAAATTAAAAAAAATTTTCAAAGTAATTAATTTATTTAAAATTTTTAATTAAAAAATTTTTTTAATAGATTCTTGCAAAACGGCAGAATCGATTTACTGGCCATCAGCCTGAAGGAGCCAGATTCATAACGTTAGATGAAACTACTGGCTGTACTGCAACAGATATGTTCATGTTACCGTGGGAGAAAGATCAAGTGTTCAGGTAGTTTTTGAAAATAAAAATATTTTTTAAATATTTTTCAAATTAATATTCAAAATTTAATTAATAAAAATATTTTTTAAGCGAGCTCATCGGAGATGTGGTCTACAGTCACCGCGGTCCCACCGCCAAAAATGGGTGGGACCGCGGTGACTGTCATGTGGAAATAGGCCAGGCTGGTGATAAAGAAAAAATTTGCGTCTTTGCCTGGAAACAAAATGCGAGCCGATTAGAAGGGGCAAAAATAAATCAAGTAAATTTTTTTAAATTTAAATTTAAAAAAATTTTGAATTATTAAAATTTAGCGAGTTAAGCTGTGCAATCTTATTGTAGTTCCCGAGACAGGAGCTCGTCATTTATGGTCTGGAAGTGTGGACATAAAATTGCGTTTTGTTAGCTCCTCAACAATTGAAATACTAAACGCCGGAAATTTTGAACAACAACAAAGTAATTTAACTGAGCAAGGGCCTTCAAGTTCCGCCCGTATTTATCAACAGCCCCAAGAGGAAGAAGAAGTTGAATATGTAGGTTGACTTGAAAATTTTTAAATCTTAAATATTTCAATTATAAATCTAATGTATTAACCTTATTCAATCTATTATTAATATTTATTTTAAAAAAATACATTGGATTATTTAAAAAATTATTAAATTAAGAATTTTTCGATTATAATTTATTATGCTCTTTCTCGTAAAAATTTAGTAATAATCTTTTTACTGCTTTACAACTATAATTTAATTTCATCCTAATTTCTGAATTTATTTTTTATATTGCTTAAAATAAAATTTTATTGAATTATATAATTTGAATAGTTTTTTATATTCCAATTATAAATTTAATTGTTTAAATAAATATTTTTGAAAATGCTTTTAATAAATTTGTCTTATTAATATTCATTTGTAATTTACTATTTAATGACTATTGAAGGAAGATTTAGCCATTAATTAAATTATTTGCTTAAAATAATTAAATAAATGATTAAAATTTAATAGAATTTAAATTAAAATTTGAATTAAAAATTTAATAGAATTTAAATTAAAATTTGAATTAAAAATTTCACTTGAACTAGAAATTTTAATTAAATTTAGTATTGAATTAAAGTAAATTTTATCATTTGAAATTTTTTTTCTTTTGCCAATTTGAAATTTACCTAAGTATTTTGATTAAAATGTTTTTACTGAGTTTTAAATTTTAAATGTAATATGATACATAATCGAATTGATTAATATTGTACTTAAACTCAATTGATGAGAAATTGCTAATATTAAATTAATTTTAAATTAAAAAATTTATAAAAAATATAAAATAAAATATTAGCTTAAATCTATTCGAATTAAGTATTTAATATCAATGCTAGATTCAATAAAATTTCAATTAACGGGATTCATATTTAAATCAATTTATTTTTTTAAATTTGAATATTGCAGTTTTGTTTAAATTTAAAACGATGTTTCTTAATAAATTGCCAGTTATTTAAGAGTATGCTAACAAATAATATTTTTAACAAAATTTAATTACAATTTTTTTGTAATTTTCTAAAATTTTTATATAATACATGCAACAATAATAATTATTTCAGCATCAACATCGACAAGTTGCTTCTGAAAATTTAAATGACTTGGTGGTGGTAGATGATACGCCTCAAGTAATTATTTGTAATTCTTTATTTGAAAAAAAAATTGAGTTATTAAAAATTTATTATTTATAAATGAAAAATACTTAATAATTTTTATTTAAAAATCACTAAATACAAAAAATTTCAGCAAACACCTCAGCTTCCTAGTGAAATTTTAAATGAATTGACACCAACAAATTCAACTTCTCAGAATTCTTCTTCTCATCAAGTAATGCTTTTTTTAATTTTCTAAGTTAAAAATTCAAATACACTTAAATTATTGTTAAGAGTTATATTTTTTCAGCGTATGCCTACACAATTTGCAAATTCTAATAGCAACCAGCCAATTCAAGTAAATTTTACTAAAATAAAAATATTTGTCTTATTAATGCGTTGTCCGTGATATTGTGTTTTTTATTAGTTACGAAACATTTTGCGAACTGCCGGCCGTACCCCACCCCCCTTAATCTACAGTGAACCTTCAGTATTTAACGATGAAGAAAGTCACTTGGCACAAATGTATAGAGGGGAGCGACGTATTGTTGATGTATATTCGGCACCTGGGGGGTTGAATTTAAGTGAACGGAATGCTCTTATGGCCTCTCGTATTAAACTTCCAGAGGATTACATTCACAATCCTGAGGAAGAATCATGTGGTCCGTGTAACCGAGATTTTAACGCATTACAAAGTGTAATCGTTTTACCGTGTAATCATAAAATTCATAAAATTTGTTTTTGGGATTTGTCACGTAATTATCGTTTTTGTACAATATGTCGAAAGGATATGGCTCCCCAGGTTGAAAATAACGAGTAGTCCAACATTTTAAATATTTTTTGTGTTTGTATTGGACTCTCAGAATTTTCAATCTAAGGGGCATGTTTAGGTTATTAAAAACTACAATTTTTTTAAAAAATAATTTATTTTTATAATTTAAAAATTATGTTTTCTTACTTTTTAAATATTAACAGAAATAATCCTTACATATAATCTCTGAAATTGTAGTAAGACATTTGGGGACGGAGATATTGGGCGTGTTCTGACAAATACACATTTTTCACGGTTACGTTGGTTCTTAAAGGAAAAATATTTCGAATAAATAGAGAATATTATTATTATCCATTCCTGGTGACTTTAGTTCTTAAAAGATTTACTATTTTACATGAGAAAATCACAATATCTCCGTCCCAAAATATCTTGCTTCTATTTAAATAATATTTTATTATCCTAATTTTATTATTATTTTATAACTTTGTAATCGATTAAATTAAGCTTTTATTTCAGCCTAAATTGATTTTTAAAAGTATCTATTGCCTTAAATAATGAAAGTATTTAAGCCTTAAATTGTTTTTAATGTAATTTTAAATAAATATTATGAAATTATGTGTTATTTAATTTTTTAGTATCAATTATAATTAAGTAGTTAACCCCACACCTCGCGCTTAACCCCACACCGCCTTAAATAGCAAGAAATTATTTTAGTCTTAAACTTTTGTTATTTAATTTTTAATATCAATTATAATTGAGTAGTTAAACCCTCCCCGTGGCGCTAATGGGAATTATGCGCTAAATAGTTTAGATAAATGTGACTGTTGTGCATGTGTCGTTTGTGTGTGTTTGTATAAATAAAGATTAAAATTAATAATAATACAATAATAATAAATTCAGGACATTAACATGAACAATTACTTCACAATCGAGCGTGTTACTGATTTCAATTCACGCTCTCGTAATACTTATGGCCAAATTTGCCATATACGATTCAATCCTCTTGAAGACCACCCTCGCCCAGATTTGGCTCTCACAAGCCTAATTGAACAACTTTTGGATCGGGTGCTCGCCGGAAGACCAGCGCCACTTCGGGTTGGTCTTCAGGTGCAACCCCCAAATTTCCATCACCCGTTTACAATTCCACTTCGACCACTTGGCCAGAATAATCCTGCCGCTTTGGCCGCAGCAATTGAACGACTGAACGAAATGTCTCAGGCCGGAATTGATTTGTTATCGGGAACAACATTAACAAAAGTTGTGGGCGTGTGGCCATTAGATGGACAACGAACAAATAATCCCGATGCCCGATCTGGTAGGTCGATACTAGTCTTATATTTTTTATTTAAATATAAGGCTGCTATTTTCCTACAGGTAGTTGTGATTTGGAATCCGACCATGTTTTATCGTCCCGGTGCCGATCGATTGTGCGCGTCCACAATCCTAACGACAGATACTGCCTTGCTCGTGCAGTAGTTATCGGACTGGCAAAAATTAGGATGGTGGATCAAGGCATACCCAACGGACCCGCTAGATTTAAAGAATTTTGCCAACAACAACATCAACATTTATTCCAAGTAGAAAATTTAATGCGAAATGCAGGACTTGCATTTGGACTTATGGTATTTTTTATTGTTTAAATTAGTTTTTAAAATTATAACAATAATTTTACATAAAATATTTTAATTTAAGGAATATTCTCTCGAACATGTTGCAATCTTGCAACACTGGTTAAACATCTTTTTTGAAGATGAATATTATGTTCGTATTGTTGTTTTCCAAAAGGAACAACAATATAGAATAGTCTACAAGGGCGATGGAAGAGCAGCGCGATACAATTTATGTTTACTGCTTGAAAATAATCATTATCATTTTATCGGACGCCCTGAACAACTTTTCTCTGTACAACGCTATTGTATTGACTGTGAGCGTTCTTACACCCGATGGACTCACTGGTCGGGATGCAGTGTTGTGTGCCGATTTTGCATGAGATCAGGTGTAAATTTCCCTTGCCAGGTAATATCATTTTTATTTTTATTGTAATTTAAGTTTAGATTTCTGAAAAAGTTTTATGCCAAGACTGTGGATTTGTTTTTCCTAATCGTTCTTGTTTTGATTACCATTTAATAAATGATGCACCTGAAGAATTTATTAGATGCGATAGCCGTACTTTTGTTTCCATTTGTCAAATGAGACGCATTTGTAATATATGTCATCTTATTATTTATCGGCAACAACAACATGAATGTCGACGACAACAACAACAAAATTTAATTTGTAAAAAATGTCGGGGGCCTCACACAGAGGAATTACCTTGTTATATTCAGCCATTAAAAGCTGAAGAAGATTCTGATGAAGAAGATCAACAACCACAAAAGAAACGACAATCTCCAATTCGCTTATGCTTTTTTGATGCTGAAACCAGCCAGGATGAAAATATACAAATTAGCCGCAATATTAATGGATATAAACATGTTCCAATACTTATAATTGCCGAGGTAATTTTTAAAAATTTTTTTAATGTTTAAAATAAAATTTTTATTCAGCTTTCATTCTAATAAAAGTTTTTAATCAGATAATTTGTGAGAACTGTATAAAGGCTGGAATTAAAATTGAAGATGTAGGCCAACGTGCCGTAGGATGCTTTTGCGGGAAGCCCCGAGGAGAAAGATGGCGCAATTGGTGTTCACCACCTTTCAAAAATGCCGCTGGCGACAACACCGCCTTTCCAAATAGAATTTCATTTAATCCTCGCCGGATGTTTTTCCATTCCTTCGACAACATCCATGAAAGCCCTGTGGATCAATTTCTTGATTATCTTCTTAATCATGGTTCGCAGCAAATGTTAACTATTTGTATAGCCCATAATGGTGGTAAATACGACTTTCACTTAGTTCTTGAAGCTCTACACAATCGAAACCAACCACCAACAAGATTGTGCACAACAGGTCTTAAAATATATTCTATGAAATTAACTGGGAACCACAAAAGAAAAGTCTTATTCAAAGACTCGCTTAATTACTTCAGTTGTGAGCTTGATGCTCTAACAAAAATTTTCTCAATACCTGAAGAAGTAGCAACATCCAAGCCATTCTTTCCCTACCTTTTTGTAAAAAGACAGCATCTTCATGAAAGAATTCAAGGACTTCCTGCACTTCATTATTATCAGCCAGAATATAAAAATTCAGTGAAGAGAGAATCGCTTTTAGAGTGGCATCAACAACAAATGAGCGATCAGTCAACTAATTTCCAGCTTCGTGAACAACTTATTCTATATTGTGCTAATGATGTTGCTATTCTACGTGAAGGAGTTCTTCGATTTCGGCATCTTATTGGCCAGCACGCACAAAAGTTGGACCCTTTTCTAGCCGCATCAACAATTGCTGGTTTGGCTCTTACAACTATGCGTCGCTGTTTCCTGCCTGAAAATTGGATAGTCCATTCGCCTGAGGGAGGCTATTTGAGAGGAAGACGTGCCTCTGCTGAATCGCAGCGATACATCCGCTTATTCGAACAACAAAATCCTGAAGCAGCAGGAAAGATTCAGCATGCACAATGGGCATTGGGCGAAGCACATGTGGAAGATTGTGGTTATAGATTAGATGGTCTTTGGCAGCGATCTCCCCCACAACGCCCATTAGCAATTGAATACATGGGTTGCTACTTCCACGGTACTTTAAAATAGATTTTTTGTATAAACTTTTAATTTAGGCTGTCCAAGATGCTTCCCTCGTCGGGATCAACGTTTAGCCGCTGGCCGTACTGCTGAAGAACTTTATGAAAGGACACAACAACGTCTTTGGGAATTGGAACACCAGCACGGATTTGAACTTCATGTAATCTGGGGACATGAAATGATGGAAAAATTAAGAAATAATCCAAAGTTGCGCCATCAATGGCTTGAAATTGATTGTGTGCGACCTCTTGATCCAAGGGAGGATTGTCTGAGGGGTGGTAGGACAGAGCCGTTCAAACTTCATCACATTTGTGCTGAAGATGAGGAAATTATCTATATCGATATTGTAATTTTTTAATTCATAATTTTTAACATTTAAAATTTAGGTAAGTCTCTATCCCTATGTGATGAAGTCAAGGCCCTTCCCAATCGGTCATCCTCACGTTTTGACTCGTGAAACCTTGCTTGATCCATCAAACAACAACCCTTTGCCCTGGAAAATTCCAGAGCATAACATCTACAAGGGTTTACTTCTTGTGAAAATAGAACCACCCACATGCTTGCCAGGAAATCTTCCACCTCTTCTACCTTATCGTACCCATGATGGCCGGCTCACCTTTCCACTTTGTGCAAAATGCGCCGATGATAAACAACAGAGGCCTTGCACTCATTCAAATCGGGAGCGTTCCTGGCTGACCGGCTACACACACATTGAGCTGAATGCGGGTCTGGAACACGGCTATAAAGTCGTGGATATTTATGAGGTTACTAAATTATTTATTTAAAATGTTGAATAAAATTGTAGGTTTGGAACTATGACCAATGGGACGACAAGCTTTTTCAATCATATGTAAACACATTTGTGGGGCTAAAGCAAATGGCAAGTGGCTGGCCGGATGGTTGTGTAACTCAAATGGATAAAGCTGAATATCTACTAGATTTTGAACGAACTGAGGGTATTGCTTTGGATCCAGATCGTATTGAAAAGAATCCGGGCCTTCGAATGATTGCGGTATATTTTAATTATATTGTCTGATTAAATAAATATTTTAGAAATTATTGGCAAACTCACTTTGGGGTAAGCTTGCGCAACGTGTTTGTGGAACCGAAGTCCGTTACGCCACAACACCAGCAGAATTTCATCAATTATTTGAAGATCCGACAACAGAAATGCTCGATTTCGATCATGTTAGTGAGCATTTGGATCGGTGTGTAGTCAGGAAAAAGGCGGAATTTGCCAAAGCACCCAACACCAACTGTATTCCTGTAGCAGCGTTTGTGACTTCGTATGCTCGTTTACATCTCTACGATTATATGAAGAAAGTTCATGAAATTGGCGCCCGTCTCTTGTATTGCGACACCGACTCCCTAATTTATGTTGGGAAGGATGGTGGTCCACGTGTACCCGAAGGGGAATCACTTGGAAAAATGAAGCGTGAAATTCCTTCACGTCGGATTTTGGAATTTGTTGCCGGAGGGCCAAAGAATTATGGGTACAGGCACGTCGACGCAAATACTGGGATGGATGAGCGAGCAGAGCTTAAGATTCGCTCTTTCCCGCTCTCTTATGCCACACATCAATTACTCAACTTTGAGAGTATGAAGGAACTTGTGCTTGATCAGTTTAATGTTGATGGAATAATGTAAATTTAAAACTTTTACTTAAATGACACAAATTTTTCAATTAGGGATGAAGCGCTTGCTGATGACATCTTTAACAGGATTGGTGGAAATGGCAATTCAATATGTGTGCAATTCCCTCAGATTGGCAGAACTCGACGATCACAGCTCTACACGCATTTGACAACAAAACAATATAGACCGTATTATGAGAAGGGGAGGATAATGCCAGAGATGGAAACTCTTCCGTTTGGATACAGAGAAATTCCGGTATTTTTTTTTGATAAGTCGTAAATTAATTATTAAACTTCAGACTGGAAGTGATCATGGACACCCAAGACAAACAACATGAACAACTTCATAATACTGAACCACAAACTAGTCTGATGGACGATTCTATTCTCAATCTAGAAAATGTTCCAGGCTCAGCAAACTGGACAAATCGTGATTATTTAAATAGATTTAATCAATAATTTTGTTAAAATTATTTTTATTTTTATTTACCACACCGCAAAAAATTATTCTGATATTAATTGTAAATATTTTATTTTTTAAATAAAGTTTATAATCGTGGAAATTTTTCAAGCAATGGTAATATATCATTTTCAAAAATAGGTTCCATTTCTTTTTGAGATTTTAATCCAGTCAGTATTACACGTCCTGAAATATAACAAAGACAGGAAACTTCTCCATCCCTCGCTTCTATTTTTATTTTAAAACGAAGTGCTGGGAATATTGTTGGTTCATAATAACAAGTTATATTTTGTCGTTGCCGAAGATACAAATAAAGTCGTTCAATTGCCAGCTTTTTTGGATGTCGATAGGCACCAACAATATTTGTAACGATAAGATTCCTCACACCAATTTTTAAATAAGAATAGTCATTGCCTGTTGCCTTATATGAAGCTTGGATTCTTTTAGTTACACGCCAAGCCATTCTGATTGCCAATGCAGGGTTAGGAACACCAGTGAGAACAACTTTGCCTGATTGAAATATAAGTGCTGCCGTAGTTTTATATTCCTGATGCCGAACTCGCATAATTATTGAATGGAATCGCCGAGGATTATATTCTGTATTTATCCCATGGCGGGCAAGTTGAATAAAATTTTCGTAAGAAAATCGTTTATTATATGGAAGAAGTTTAAAAACAGCAGTACAATTTTCTATTTGCATAATATTTACTTTTCAAAAATAAAAAATACAATATTTTATGTATACTAAAAATAAAATTATTGAAAAATTAAAAGCTTTTTAAAAGTTTTAAAATTAAATATCTTTCTATGAACATCCTCCCTTCATCTTGTGACGGATCACATTGAGACATTCAAGCGGGTAAAATGATCGATGGTGTCCTCCTCCAAATTGTATAAGGCACGGTAAATATGGGTGGCAGAGTTTGAGTTTGTGCTTGACGTAGTAGTACCCGCGAACCTAAAAAATACAATCTTATTTAAAAGTTAATCTTAATTTACCGTTATTCCAAGATATCCTCCCATAGCTAGAACATTACTTGCAGATTGCGCTGTTAAATCATGGCAATAGACGTTGAAATTTTTACAACTCGGCTTTAGATGAGAAGTACGTATTTGGACATTTTGTTGCAAATTTTCTATAAGTTCGCGCCGAACTTCGAGATTATGAAAAAGCACATGTAGTTCTTTAAGTGAACAGTTTTTTATTTCACAAAGATAGTCTAGTAAAGGAATAGAGCCTTTATTTGGTCGAACATGTTTAGTTGTTATTTCATTAAAAGGTCGTATGGTTGTAGTTGGTGGTTGGGGTGTTGGTTCACGAAATGGATTTTCTGGTTCAACAGTCCAATCTAATGGTTTATCCTCATCATCATCGTCTATAACCAGACGAAGTAATTTCTCACTTGTATCTAGATTTTTTTCATCTTCAACCTCATCTTCTTTTTCTTCGATTATTTCATCCACAATGTTAAGCAATCCAAAAGCAGGTGTAATTACATCTATTTCATTCTGAAAATGTGCTTTTAATTTATTTATAAAAAATTTGTACCTTTTTATTTGCCTCTTTGCTTTCTTGATTAGCCTGATTTGTTGTCTGATTTGAATTTGCCTGAGACTCATCTTCAATAACACCCCAAGGCTCGAGATTATAAAATTCCATAATTTAATAATAATATTATAATGAAAAAATAAAATTAATTTTTCTATATATAATATTCTGAATTTGATTTGTTATATTAGATAAAATGAATGGATTTGAGAAAGTCGATACTATACACGCTCGTTTTAAACACCCGTTCACTATGATCGTATCCGGAAGTACTGGGTCTGGAAAATCAGAATGGGTTAAAAATTTGCTGGAAAATTTGGAGGAAATGGTTACTTATGAAAATGAAAAACATAATCAAATTGATTTAGTCTTTTATTGTTATGGTGAATTAAATTCTAATATTATAAATATGCAACGTAAAGGTTTTGTAAATAAAGGTAAAACACAAGTTATTGTTCATAATGGGTTGCCTAACGGGGGAAATGAATTTATAAAACAACAAGCAAGGCATGGAAGAATGTTACTAGTGTTAGATGATTTAATGGTTGGGATGAACCAAATATTTTTGGATACAATATTCACTAAAGGGTCTCATAACTGGCAAATGAGTGTTATATTAATAACACAGCATTTATTCAGTAAAGAATTAAAAGTTGCCCGTAATAATTCTCATTATCTTTTATTAATGAGAAATCCGGCAGGAGCTTTGCAAATTAGAACACTTGCAACCCAATTATTCCCTTCAAAATCAAAATACTTTCTGGAATCCTATTCTAATGCTACAAAAGAAAACTTTGGATATTTGTTAGTCGATATACATCCTAGTACTCCTGACTTTTTACGACTTCGAACACATATATATTATAATACGGGAGAAAAAACTATAGTTTATATACCAAAATGAATAAAAAAATTTCTACAAGCAAATTAATTGAGAAAAATGTAAATTTCTTAAATTCAGTTAACGAATCTAAAAAATCTAGAAAGGTAATGAATGATATATTATTAAACGCATCCGCTGAACAGTTGTTATGCTTCGTTGAAATTTGTTTTAATTTATTAAAGGGGCGTTTACCTTTTCATAAAAATAGAATTATTAATTTGCAAAAACATGCAAATATATTGAGGAAAATCAGTAGATCTAGAAGTGCTTCCTCAACACGATGTTTATTACAACAAGGAAACGGGATTTATCCTTTAGCGGGTATTCTTGCAAGTCTAGTTTTACCTTTAATTACCGAAAAAATTTTTAAATAATATAAATAAAATTTGATAATATAAATTTTAATTAACAATGAAGCGAATGATATTAATTCCTGAGGATTTTTATGAAAGTTTAGTAAGTAGTGATAAAATTGATGGGAATGGAGACGGGACGGCCTTAGGCTTAATAAAAGAACGTTTACAAAACAGTAGTGCAAGCAATAATTCGTTAGATCCTACAACAAGAGCAGCTCGTTACGAGCAGGATTTTAAAAGGTATAACAAGCTTATTAAAGAAAAAGAAGAGAAGCCTATTGATGTGAAACTCAAAAATTTTGAAGAGATTGCTGATGCCGTAACTAAAAATGTCGATTTAAATAAAAGTCCAGTGGAAACAAAAAACGAGATTAATAAAAATAAAATTTCTAGAAAAATTATAATAAGAAAACCCAAAAGAAACTCAATTGGTAAAGTTACATTAAGAAAGAGAGTCAAATTTTCAAATCCAGCTGTAAAGATAGAAAATCCTGATGAAATTGAGAATGAAGAGGGTGAAGAATTCTTTTCAGCAGATAGTGAAACAGATCCTAAGGAAGAAGCTCGTCAATATTTGAGAGATCATGCTAATGAACTTGGCATATTGCCCAGTGGTAAGTTAGCCAGAAGATTAGGTACCCAAGAATCCTTTGTCACAAGTAATATTGAAGAAATTTTAAGCTATATAATTAAAAATAAAGGTAAACGCAAAAGACCAATCCCTACTGGTTATGACGAGTTTATTCGTAGAATAAATAGCCATTCGATTTTACAAAATATACTTTTTCCTTCGAAATCTTCAACTAGCAACCAAGAAGGTGAAGGATTTTTTAAACACACCTTTTCATATAAACCATCATTATGGCAAAATTAAATAAAAACAAAATTAAAATTCTTGACAAGTTATACAAGAATGTTAATTCGACTACATGTTTTACATCCGTTGAACCACTTTTAAAGGAAGCCAGGCGATTAGATAAAAATATTTCTCGAAATATTGTGAGAGATTACCTTGCAAGCCAAAATGTTAATACATTACATAGAAGAGTAATTAGAAAGTATAAGCGCATGCCAACACTAGCTCCAGGCTTACACACAGAATGGCAGGCCGATCTTAGTGTTTTTGATAAAATTAGTAAACATAATCGTGGATACAAATATTTATTAGTATGTATTGATACACTTAGCCGACAAATATTTGTTGAACCAGTAAAAAGCAAACATAGTACTAATATGATCGAAGCTTTTAAAAAATTATTTTCTCGGGTCGGAATAATACCCTGGAAACTTTTAACAGATCAAGGATTAGAATTCACTGCAAAATTTGTACAAAAATATTTTCGCTCAATAGATATGGAACACTTCTCAATGCTCACTTCCCCCGTATGGCATGCAGGCATGGCTGAGAGGGCTAATCGTAGTATCAAAGAGCGACTTTACCGTTATTTTACAGAGAATAAAACTTTAAAATGGTTAGACGTTATCCAGAAAATTGTTTTGTCCATTAATCGTTCTTTTAACTCTAGTATTGGCATGAGACCTATTGATGTGAATTATAAAAATGCAGAACGCTTGCGCTTATTATTAAAACAAAAGGCAGTTGCAAAACACGCGCCATCAAGTTGGAGAAATAAAAAATTTTCTGTTGGGGATAATGTTCGTATAGAAAAATATAAACATATTTTCCAAAAAGGATACCTACCAAATTTTACAAATGAAATTTTCATTATTGACCAGGTTCGATTGGTTCCCCATCAACCTCCAACTTATAAAATTCGCGATCGTAAAGGGGAAGAAATTCTTGGGTGGTTTTATGGGAATGATTTAATTCTCGTTAAAGAAGAACTTAAAAAGAATGAAAATATTTATGACATTGAAAAGGTTTTGAGAAAAAGGAAACGAAATGGTGTGGATTATCTTTTCGTAAAATGGAAAGATTATGGGTCTGAACATAACAGTTGGATACCTGCTAACTCTGTTCTTTGGAGATAATATACATAAATGAAATTTTAAATATTTAAAATAAAAATGACTTCCTTTTATATAATTATTCCATCCAATACTAATGTCGAAGGAAATAGAACTAATTCTTTTAGAGTTAGATTACCCCATAAACTAAAATTTAATTCTGAATGGAATGTTGGATTATCTGTCATGGTTTATCCTCATTCCTGGCCTTCACTTGGGACTACAACTGAACAAACTATAACAGTTGTTTGGAAAAGTGGTGAGATTGTTCGTTTAGCGGTACCTTCTAATAGTTTAACTAACCCTCAAAATTTAAAACAAAGCCTTGATAAATCTCTTAATGAAGGAAGTGAGACACTTTCGGAAAAAATGCGTGGTTGTCAAGTTGAGTATACCAATATATTAAAGGAAACACGAAGCAAGGCTAAGGAAGAGTACAAAAAATTAAAAGAACTAGTACAGAGCAGTAAAGAGGTATCTACAAACGTAACAACTGAAAAACATGTGATTATTCCTGAGGGCGAAATTCCTAAACTAAGAAGCGAAACAGAGATTTACAACGATATGGTTAAAGCAGAAATTGACAAATTGCCTATAGAAACTAGGAAAATTATTGAACTGACTCGTGAAAGTGGCTTTGAACCGTGGATTACAGTATATCGTAAACCAAAATTTGCATGTGCCTTTGAGTTTCACTCACATAAAAA